TTTCGGCCACATTCCATAAAAAAATGTCAGACAGAGGGATATAAAGTATGGTGACATACCTAGGGATCTGTACCATCTTCCCAGCCTGCTCAACTGGAGGTTTAGTCACAATAATGATGTTGAGCACAAATTCCTCCATGTCAAAGAGAATAAAGATAGACTTACTGTTTCATACAAGGGTTACTGCCATCCTGGTCCTGCAAACAGCTGGCTCAGGCCTGTTACTCCACAGGTTTGGATTGGATAGGGAAAGACACTGGTCCACTTGGGAAAGCTTTCTATCATCATGATGGCTTCCTTGAAGTCAGTCTGGATTCTTGAGGGCACTCTTTTGCTGCCTCCCTCTAAAAAAGCAGGGATTTGGGACAGTTGGCTTTGGCAAAACTTTGCACAGAAGTACAGAACTTCAGAGCTATATTCATGGAGACACAATTAATGTCTTAATAAGCGACTTGCACCTGTGAGTAATACAAACTGTAAAGCCCAGAAACCGACAGAGTGGAGTAATGCCCAGCCTTGGGCATAAGGGATTTGTCCATCAATATGTGCCCCGTCGTCTTTTATAGAACGTGGTGTTCTAACACAATGGGCAGAGTACCTCATTGCCACCCATGACCTTGTGGTTGAGAGTAGCTCTGACTCGGTGATACATTCTTGGTAAGAAATAGGAGTTTATGTTCCTGATAATCCATGAATATGGTTGTAGACGTCAATCAATATTTGTTTGACATTCTAGGAAGTGTTATCAGGCTGAGAATGATGTCTTGGAAAGAACTCATATTTCTTAGACAAAAAAGAGACTCAGCAGGTCATATATGGAGAATATGGGAGAAAGTAGTTCTTCTCAGGAAGGCATTGTGACCAAATACACCATGAACTGCAATATACCAGAGAGGATCTCTGGTAAAATATTAATGGGTCAACCTGAGAAGGTTGATCCTGATTCCACATTTCTTCTTTCACTTTGATATCCAACCTACTGAACAATAGAAGAGTGTCTAAGAATTGATGCAGCTGCTTCATTTGTACTTGGATTACTGAAACAGCTTTCTATGATTTCCTCTCTCTAATAAAAAAAGTCTATATGATGCCACCCTTCTTAAAATCATATTAATAGCTCCTAAAGGAAGGGCTTCTGGGGATGTAGTCCCATCCTGACCCATCTTGCTCTATAAAGAACACTCCTCCATAGGAATGGGCCACAGCAGCCATGTTTATATTAGTTGACCTTACTTGCCTAGGTGCAGATGAACATCTGACACAAACTCAGCCCATCTGGAGTTGAGATGGAGACATGCTAGTCCTAGACTGGTTGCTGGAAATGAAGCAGTGTACAGCTGGAACATGGAAGCCATGAGTGTTAGATAGGCTGAGGTGAGACTAGAAAGGTAAATACCTATGTTCCTGATAGCTTTCTTGTTCTTGGACCAGGCCGTTTTGAAGCCCAGCTGTGTTCTTCCTCTTGGATTCTAGGCAATTTTCCTGCATCTGCATGATAAATCTTCTACTTCCACCCTCATGTTATTTTTTTCCTGAGCTAGTTTAAGTGGGATTTTGTTACATCCAGGTAAAACAGCATGGACTAAGACAGCCTCTAGGATGAAATTCAAACACTTTAACATGGTCTGCAATGTTCCTTATGATCTAGTGTCTACCTTTGCCTTTTTACTTCTGACCTCTCTTAATTAGCACCACACATAATTCAGTCCTGATCAGTCTCCTCCCTTCACAGAAGTCCTTTGGGATGTAGCTCCTTCAGAAAAGAAACTGATACCTTTCCAGCCTATGAGGTTCCCTTCTTGTGTACTGGTTATACTGCTATTGTGCCTGGTGGTTTATTTGTCCCTCTTCTATTGACTTTATGTCAATAAGTCAAGATGAGGTCTTACATTTGTTAATACTTTGTTCGTGTTAAACCCTTAAAAAATACCAATAAAAAGCAAATAAAATGAATGAGAATCTATTCATAATATAATGACACAGTGTTGATGTAAATAGATTATGAAACCTGAGCCTTCTAGTATAGCAACGTGCTTCAGAGTGTAGGATTTGGAGTCAGGACTATTGCAGAGGTAAAACCTATTTACATGATAGGGTTATGAGGATTAAAGGAGTTATCTGTGTGAACCATTTGTAACACTGGCTTGGGATATTAGGTACTTAGTAAGCATTTCATGATGAGTAGACTTTTTGTTCATCCTCTATCTAGAAACTCAGTGAAACATGGCTAAGACTCCCACAACTGTAGGAATCAGTTACTCCATAAACTATTGGAAAATTCTAAAGGCAACCATTTTCCAAGTTTAAGTTTAACAGGGATAACCCTTGATGAGAGCGGTTTGCAAGCACATCCTACAGTGAGCTTTGGTTACAATTACCTTAAACTGTTTTGCAGGCCTTTTTTTATGTAAAAACTGTAAGGATTGCTGGCTCAGGATATGGTTGTTGCTTAAGAGCCTGTCTTAGAGGGGTTGGCATTTCCTTATCAACTCACAGCCCCAGTAGGGGCAGTTTCTCAAAATAACCTGCCCTTCCCTCTGCTCCCCTCTCACCCCTACTACAGATGAGTGTCCTGATCTACAGAGTTACAGGCCTTATAGCCCCGTGCAGAGGAGACAGAGTGAACTGGACAGTAAGCCCCTGACTAAGGTCCAGTTCCTGGGAGGCCTGATTGTACTTCCTGGATTGGATTCTGTTAAGAATGCCCCAATTTCCTGAAACAAAGTTCTTTTCCTTAAACTAGCTTGAGTGGGTTTTGGTTTGTTTTGTTTTAAATCTTTTTTTTTTTTTAAGATTTTATTTATTTATTTGAGAGACAGTAAGAACATGGGAGGGGCAGAGGGAGAAGCAGACTCCCCACTGAGCAGGGAGCTGGACAGGGGGTTGCATCCCAGGACTCTGGGTTCATGAACTGAGCTGAAAGCAGACATTTAACTGACTGAGCCACCCAGGTGCCCTGGTTTGTTTAGTTTTGATGCTCATATCAGAAGATTGGTACCAAGATTGGAAGGAAGCCCCAAGGATGCTGTAGAGTTGGGGTGAAGAGGGGTGGTTACAACGGATCTCAGTGTGAGGATCTGACAAACTGGGGGAATGAAGTGGAAAAATAGCTTGCTAAGTCTCTACTGGTAAGCCTACACCACAGGCCTCCTGCTGGATCAGGGGGCCAAATACTCTATCAGGATGTGATTTCTCCTTGGGATCTTGAGGGAAGTACAAGTTGAGAGGCAGTCTGAGGTTTATAGGGCAGAACTGGAAGCAGATAGAGTAGGAAGAAATTTTCTTCCCTCCTTAACCCTTCTTTCCAACTCCTTTCCACTAATATCATTGGGAGATTTGGGTAAAATACTGTGTCAAGAGTTACATTGTGAGGCATGGCTGATATTAGCAAGATGTTACTTATAGATTGCCCAGTCTTATCAGTAGAAAATGAAGTCTCTTTCTATGAGGCTCTGTAAGAACCTTCCCTTGCATGGTAGAAAAGATAGTGAGGATTGTGATGGGGAAAAAGAAAAACAGAGTCGAGTCTCCCAGATGCCCAAGTGAAGCACAAGGACTCTATGAACTGGACACTGGAGAGTGACGCAGTGGGAAAAACATAGAGGTATTTGGCACCATCCAGAGGACTCTGTGTTTGGGACCCAGTTAAAAGATTTTCATATACACAGGACAAATCCTTATTTACTAACATTTGTAATACACCTAGTATGTACCTAGTGCTTTATACATAGTAACAACACAAGAGTGTTTCATCTTTCAGAAGATGAAGAAACTGAGGCTTTGGCTTTACATCACTTGGCAATGCTAATATGATAACCATTTATTTACAACCAGTAGTAAGTAGAGTAAGGTTCTGAACAGTGGCCATCGGAATCTACAATCTTCACAGACTTTTTCCACCAAGCAATCTGTCTCAGTTTACTCTAAATGACATAGATTCAAAACACAGATGTAAAAGGATAGAGGGTTAAAGTGAATACTATAATGTTCCTACTTTTGATAGTAATGTAAATATACAAGAACAAACAGCTTATGAAATCATTCTCAAGTGTTTAATTAAAATCCATATAGCATTTAACATGTATAGATTTTTAAACTCTTTCAGTGACTCTTATATTTTAAAATCCTTCTGCACAACATTTTGAGGCTAACTTCATGCTAGAGATCTACAAATGTACAACTTAACACAAAAATACATTCGGAGTCCATTCCAATGCAAGTTTAAAACACTTTAATTGCAGATAATGTAAAGATATTTAAAAAACAAAAACTACAAAATGAGCACATAAAAGTCTTCCCTTTTCAATTTTTAATAAAATACTGCTCTGTATAAGATCTAATGAAAAATTCCAGTTACTTATAAAATAGCTATGTGAGAAAAGAAATGAATTAAGGTACATATGTATGAATTATATTGTTTAAATGAATAGAATATTGAACATTTTGATTGATACAACACACTATTTATTACCCATATATCAAAATAGAGGAAAACCCTCAAAGAAGCAACTGGGTGCAAGCAAAAGAAAATTTAAGAGACCTGAGGCAACAAAACAACAACAAAAAAACCAAACCCCAAAACAAAGGAAAGAGCCCCTTAGCTGTAAAGGAAAAGGAGTAAAAGAACTTAAAGCAAACTGTGGACCAAATTCTCAGTCCCATTATTCATGAGAAACGGTATGAGAATTTGGCTTCAAATTACTAAAACATCTGTATGAACTTAATTATTTGGCCTAGGCAATTTAAAAGTATACCAATTGTTGAAATCAAAAGCCATGGGTGTACTGCTGGGAAAAAATTAATTTTTGCAGGTTTTACTATGTAAAACTATCTACTGGAAACCAGAGTCTCCATCACAAATTGCACTTGAGATGGCTGAATGCATTGATTGAGCAAGGCATAATTGCTGGTTCACTGACATACACACAAACACAAAAGCAGCTATAGATTGCTGATATTTTTAATTACTAAAACTATTTTACATGTGGTTTTTTTCCCCCCCCCTCTCTGGGGGAAAAAAAAAAGATCAGCAATACCAGAGCTGTTACCTCAGTATGGTATGGTAATAGGGACACTTCCACATGCCTGCTGACTCACCACTCTTGTCTGTCTGTTTCAACACAGTCTCTTCCTGCTCCCTGACGGAAGATGTAGAGGTCTGATGGAATTACGAACCAGGTCATTTGAAAGTATTCATTTCTGGAATTTTTAGCTTTATTCTGACTAGAAAAGGATGCTCCTGTGAAAAAGACTGTTCCATTGACGAAGCTTACAAAATATGCATAAAGAACACTACCAGTTTGAGTGCTATCACTATCTCTAGAAAAATGATAAAGGAACTTAAGTGACTTTTTTTTTTAAGTAGACAAAACTTGTCACAGTTATATCTCTCCAATAAATTAATTCTCCTCTATAGTAAAAACACAGTTTGGAAGCAAGATGACCCTAAGAAACATAGCAAGCTTGAAAAGCTGGGAAATTGTAGACTGTTGCTTTAAAAAAGATACTCTGAAAAACGAGACCAAACACATTAGGCCTAACTTCAGTGGAGATCTGGACAGTATTATTCACCCTAAGGTAAAAATTAGACAACCACTACAAAAAAGTATGATTCATTAATACAAATAGAACAGATGAAAAGTGACTAAAAAAGCCCCTGCAACTTATCTGCTTCCTTGATCTAGAAAGATAGAATATAGTCTGAAAATGCAGTGATTGAAAGTATCTTATTTAATTGGTTTCTTTCTTCCAAGTCCTCCCTCACTGCTTCTCCCCTTAAATGAAGATTCTAGATTAGTTTGAAAATAACAGTCTAAAACCAAAGCAAATACCTGATCATAGGAAAGGAAAAACAACAAAAAACCTGCATCAAGAGTTCTTCATCTCTCCTAATAGAAACAAAAACTGAAACAAACCTTATCTTTTCAGTTTTAAAAGAACTCCTTATCCCTCTGAAAAGCAAGCAACATCTTAAACTGAAACCAAGGTACACTGACAGGCAAAATTAATGTCTCATGCAACTGACTCTCAGATGTTTAAGACCTTAGTCTACATGATGTTTAAATCAATTAATAGATTTTGTCCAATTATAAAACTAGGTGATGATCAGGCAATGCAGGCAATTGTAACAAGGAACAATGAAACTAGAAGAATCAATTTCAAAATTCACTTAATGCACTAAAAAAAAAAAAAAGAGAGAAATTAACTGAATAAGAATATTTAGTTACGTGGAACTAACTTGGTTATGTGGAAGCATGAAGCAATCTGGGGACTCTGCTCTGCTGTGCCCTATTGAGACCACAGCTTACACAGAAAGTTTATAGCAGATTCAACAGTCAAATGGGCATATTTCTAAACTTTGAGCCCATCTGAGTTTGCCCAATCCAAGACAGAAAAATTGTAAGTTTCCCATACTATCAACGAATCCAGTCTCCTCAAGATTATCATGAGATAAAAACTCTGTTTTTATCTGTTTTTATCTCTGTTCCTTATGTCCTGCACAGGGAGGCACAAGTCCTGCTGATCTCCTATTGATCTCATGCCCACATTTGGAATAGGTCTACAAAGGGAAAGGAAAAGATGAAGGCCTGACCACTAATCTCGTCATTATCAAGCTCTTTCCTATATTTTAATCTCTCTTCAATCTTGACCTTTAGAATACTATGTGTTTTTTTAAAAAGGGAGGAAGGAATAAAAAGAAAACACTTTTGCTGCCTATTCATGTAGAATTATCAGCTCACTTTGCTCAAACACTGGGGAAATATCCTATGGGTCTGGTGGCAATATGCTTTTTGAAATTTTCTTGGAGTTTTCAGAAGATGGCACATGCTCCTTCCTTTGTACTCTAAAAAAGATGTGGGTTGTACGCTGTTTTTAGAGGGGCCACACAGCAGTGATGAGCGAGGCAATTCTTGAATGCTGGAGTTTGTACAGGTACATAAGATAAAAAATATTACATACTTTAAAGTAGTTAAGAGGTTAACAGAACATTATTATCACAATTTAACTTTTTTGTATTGTATTCTCATAATACAGATTTCCTTTTAAAACAAAGAGAGAGTTTGTGGGACACTAAGGACAAACACAGAATTACTTGAGCTTCATTATTCAAGATCCCACTACAGATAAACATTCCCAACAAGGACATGCTGGGAACCAATGAACATCGGAATCTAGAAAATTAATAGAAAATAAAATCACAGAAACTCACATGACTATACTAAATGACAGATAATGAACACTTATCTCTTACACTAAAGGCACTACTAATATACAAATGTCCTATTTACATTTAGAGAAACTCTGAAATCAGCAGTTAGAGAAAGGAATCCATTTAGTTCAATACCAGCACTTAAAAAACAAACAAACAGACTACTTTAGGACTCATGGCAGGGTTTTTAATGAGTTAAATGAAACTGGATATAATAATAAGTAGCTCCATATAAACATTATGGTTCCTACTTTTTAAAAAATTATGATAACTTACTTCCTTAAAAATATAAGCATATCACAAAAACTAAAGGATAAATATATATATGTGTGTGTACATATTTATATACATATATAAAAAAACTCAGGTCCTGGTACCACTGAGAAATTTTCATAAATTCTAAAATGATTTCAACAGCCACAGCTTGAACAATACACACTTCACACATGACATGCAAGGACAAAATGCCAGAGTCACTGAACAGTTCAGCATAAAGCTAAAAATATGGAAACAGAATGAGACAGGCGTTTGTCATGTAAATAAAGTACATCACAAACTGATTGTGCCTGTATTATAGCACACCTCAGAATTTTTTTAAAAATTAGAATTTCATCAATCTCAAGAAACACTACACATGGACCAACAAAGAAGCTCTCATATATGTTTAAGCAAGTAAAAAGCTATACAAAAGAATAACACAATTTATTTCAACTAACAACATGATTAATATATCTTATTTTATTCTATTAGAAGATTAATTTGTAGTCGTTATACCCTGTAGATTTTGAAACTTAATTTTATTAGAAATTTCTAATGCTGGTTCTTGAGTAATCTAAAAAATTGTAATTACTTGCTCAAATCTAGATTGCTATTTATAGTTCTAAGCAGTTAAATGAAATACTCTGATCAGTTTCTAAAGTTGCTTTGGTACAAAATTTAGAATAAAGCAAAACTGGCAGCACCACAACACGTGTGATCATTTCACAGCAGGTCTAAAGGACCCTCAGAGACAACAAAATGTAAGTTAAAATACTTATAAATAAGAGCCATTCTCCTGACAAACCTGTCACATCATTAAAAAGAGAAATAAAATCCACATTCAGTAGATTGAGGCCCAATTTTCAAGCTCCATTTAATTATCCCTCAATAGTATAAAAAAAATTTTTATTATTGCACTATGATGTCTAATTCATGGTTCAGGATAGTTCTGTTGATGAGAGGCCAAGAGTTAGAGTGGTACATTTTAATGCTTAGTCCACTGATACTATTTTAACACAAGGTTTAATTTAGTTTTTCTTTTTTATAGCTTTACTGAGGTATAATTGATGTAAAACAAACTGCGCATGTTTAAGATGCGCAATTTGATATAGCATGAAAAGTGCCTGACAAATTAAAAAATTTTAACTGAAAGGAAAATTTTTAATCAAAATGTACTATTTTAAAATAGCACATTCTAATTTTTTATGAGACACAGATGTGGATTTCTAAAAAGGTGGGTGGAAAGGAAAGAAATTAATTTAATTCCAGGTACCAGATTTATTCAGAAGGCTTGGAAACGCCGAAATTGACGGCCAGTTTTCTTGATTTTCTTCTTGAAGAAGAGCTTGGTGTTGACTTGTGATGAGACATACTATGGCCTTGGGAGGCAGCTTCAACTTGAAAAGAAGACGCAGGCTGAGTAATCTGAGAGGACTTTAAGGAAGTGGATGAACTCTCCTGTGGAATCACTTTGGTGCCACTGGAAGACCCTGGCTGGCTAGTCTGAAGTGGGGTAGCGTGAGAACTCTGGGCCTCCTTACTCTCCAAGTTCTTTTTATTTGCAACCCTTTTTTTAGTAACCTTTAAGGAATAAAAGTGTTGTTAATTATCAATGTACACAGAAAAAACTAGTGTCATAAACCATGTTGCTAATAGTTGTCAATCATGCTGACCTGTGACTTCCACTTACAGTCTACAAACCAGACTTAAGAAATTAAAGGAAATTTAAAAATTCTCCATAACTTAAACATAAAGAAAATTTTAAAATTCTCTATAAATTAAAAACAATTTATATTCCTGATTTTAAAATCACTTTGTGCTAGAAAAGGATATTACTTGCTGTAATTATTGTTATTTATTGGAACACAAACTCAAGAAAGCAGGGACCAGGTCAGACTGGTCACTGATGGTCATAATATATATTCTTAAAAAAAATATATATATATATATATTTTTTTAAAGTAATCTCTACACTCAACGTGGGGCTTGAACTCAAGACCCTGAGAGCAAGAATCGTATACTCTACTGACTGAGCCAGCCAGGAACCCTGAGCATGGGTCATTAATATATATTCTTAGCACCCGGACCAGTACTGGGTTTCTGATTGGCCTTTAATCAGTAATAATTAAGTAAGCAAATTTTTCTCAACAGTCCTTGAGCATTAGCAAATTACTCTCTTAAAAATATAGTAATTCTCTTTTCAGATCTCACCTGTAGAGGTATGAACTGATTGTGCACACCACCTGGCATTCCCCCAGCCATTGGCATGGTCCCAGAATATGAAGGATGATGAAATGGTTTCCCAGGAACTGGCACTGGTGGTCCCCATGGCATGGAGCCAAAGAGGTGAGATGATGAAGGCATTATATTAGCTGTTAAAAATCATGGACAATTTCTTTTTTAGTAAAATGGTGTTATCAGAGTCCTGAAATCTAAGATCTCTTTCTGCTGCCCCCTTTATTTTGTTTTTGTTTTTTGTTTTTCATCTTGACAAAGGGCATACACTGAACTCGTAATCCATTTTGCTTACAACATTCCACCTCATGAGCCCCCCTTAGGACTGTGAAGTATTTGCATAAGTTAGCTTGTCATTATGCTGTCTGGCTTACAAAGGCCAAGAGTACCATACAGTTATATGAGCTTTAGGAATATTTGTAATACTATTTAATAAAAGGATCATGAAACTGTCCCTTGGGGGAGAAAAGTCAGGGCACAAAGAGAGAAATCTTAAGGATCTCACCTGCCCCCAATGCTAAGTTGCTTCCATAGTGATCCCAGCCTACAAAAAAACCAAAAAAGCTCAAGTCTTGAAATCTGATCACTTTCATTTGACATGCAGAATCTTTCTTTTCCCTATTCTAGTATTCTTAATTAAAGGATTTTTAAAAATTACATTTTGTTTCTTACTAAATGTACACTGAACCATGGTTTCCAAAACTGATTTGTGTATCAGAATCACCTGGGAAGCTTGTGAAATACAGATTCCTGGGGAAGACCCCCCCAGGCCTATCAGACTTGGAGGGAACCAGGACTCTGTATTTTTTGAAGTACAGTTGACATACAATATAATACGAGTGTCAGGTGTACAACAGTTGAGTACAGTGAGTACAACAAAGTGCTCACCATAAGTGTGGTTACTATCTGTCACCATAAAAAGTTATTAAAAATATTATTGAATATATTCCCTCTGCTGTTCCTTTTGTCTTTGTGACTTGTTTATTTTATAACTAGAAGTTTGTACCTCAGTCCCTTCACCTGTTTGCTCATCCCCCACTCCCTTCTCCTCTGGTAACCACTAGTTTAATCTACATTTATGAGTCCGTTTCTGTTTTGTTTTGAGATTCCACATATAAATGAAATCATACGGTATTTGCTTTTCTCAGTTTTACTTTGATGGACATTCAGGTTTCTTCCAAAAGCATGCATACATCTTTCTGAATTAGTGTTTTTGTTTTCTTTGGGTAAATAACCAGAACAGATTGCTGGATCATATGATCCCTTATTCTTAATTTTTTGAGGAATCCAAGGAATCTAGTTTTTGTGTGTCTCTTTGTTTTTAAAGAGGAGGGAGGGGCAGAGGGAGAGGAAAACAGAATCTTAAACAGGCTCCATGCCTAGCAGGGAGCCTGATGTGGGGATCTACCTCACAACCCTGAGATCCTGACCTGGGCCAAAACCAAGAGTTGGACTCTTAACCGAGTGAGCTGTCCATGTGCCCCAAACTTGTCATCATTTAATGTAGTAGTTTCTAAATGCTGCACTGGTAGTGGCTGTGTAAGAATCCACCTGTGGAGCTTGTTATCAATACAGATTCCTGGGGTGCCTGAGTGGCTCAGTCAGCTGGGCATCTGACTCTTGATTTCAGCTCAGGTCATGATCTCAGGGTTGTGAGATCAAGCCCAAAGCTGGGCTCTGCGCTCAGTGTGGAGTCTGCTTGAGATTCTCTTGCTTTGTTCCTCTGCCCCTCCCCCAGTTGGCACATGTGCTCTCTCTCCCTCTCTTTAAAATAAATAAATAAACTCTTTAAAAAAATGACAAGTGGGACATTAGCACAACACCACTGAAGAAGATATGCACTGTATTCAAAACTTCTTTTCAGAGAGATAAAAAGGCAGCCAAACCTGTAAGACAGTATAACTTAATAATTCAGCCACTTAAGAGACAGTATAGCTTAGTAATTCAGCCACTTAAGAAATTTTGGCATCAGGAAAAAAATCATATATTTTAGTGTTTTGAATTACACATGTACAACATCTAGGATGAAGACAACTTTTAATATGAAAAATGCTAAAAATATTCAGAAAATCAGGTCTTAGTACTACTAACTATAAGCAACTTTGGTGCCAGTCATAATGTTAACAAGATCTGTTTAAAAGATGCTATATTAATCTTCTGCAAGGATCAGTTCCACAATTTCCCCCTCAAAAAATCACTGTTCTAAATATGAAATACACTTTCCTCCACTTGTTTTCCACTGGGACTTTTAATACCAGAAAATAGAAATCTATAAAATAACTTTAAAATGTTAATCTGATGATTCATTTTTTTCTCCTGATTAACATTGAAATCTCTTGGCTTTTACTTATATCATGTATAATATGGTCCAATTGAATTGGACCATGGGAGAACACCTATTATGAGACCAAAAGATTTCCAATTATAACCTTAAAATTCTTGGGAGGTAGGAATACAGTATCATAAACATGATATACTAATGAACATAAGTGTAATAATTAACACAAAAAAGGCAAAAATATCAAACTGTAAAATATCGATAAGTGGAAAAACAATCATTCTTTTTAGATAATACATCTCATAACCTACACATATTAATTATACTAAAGATTTATATGTAGTTACTGGGTTCACTTTTGAAAGAGAAAAGCTGTCAAATTAGATTTTGGAAGTCACAGTGAACTTACTTCCTTGAGCTATATGAAAACATCAGATTTTTTTTTTTAAAGATTTTATTTTTATTTATTGGACAGAGAGAGAGATCACAAGTAGGCAGAGAAGAGGCAGGCAGAGAGAGAGGAGGAAGCAGGCTCCCCGCTGAGCAGAGAGCCCGATGCGGGGCTCGATCCCAGCACCCTGGGATCATGACCTGAGCCGAAGGCAGAGGCTTAACCCACTGAGCCACCCAGGCGCCCCTGAAAACATCAGATTTATTCAGTCACAAAAATTTTATGACTAAAGCATTGTTTATACAGTTGAAGAAATACCAGTGCAGTACAGTAACAAAACCATGGACTTTGGAGTTAGAAAGACTTGTGTATGAATGCTAGTTTTGCTACTCAGGAACTTACGTCCTTAAATTACATTTTCTTAAAAAGTCAAAGTAGTATATACACATTGTAATAAAAATATTTTCAACATAATAGAGTAGATGATCCCAGGTTTAACTGTTTAAGCTGTTTATTTCTACCACTGTTCAATAATTTGCTTCTACTACTACTGATTTTTCAATGTTAGGCATTTTTAGGTCTACTGACTTCCTAGTAAGATAGATCAGAATTCAGGTCGATCAAAATCAAAATTATTTTATATCACTGCTTACTACTTGCTTTGTTTTTCCAATAAAAATATATCATTATTTATGATTTATGATTTAAACAAATATATTTGTTTAAATATATAAGTGGGGTTTACAGTATGTGGTTCTGTAAATATTGTCATTGCAGAGCCAAGTAGGTACTCTGATTATGTTTTCTTGTAAAACGTTTTACCGTTTTTTAAAAAATTTAATTATTTTTAAAGATTTTTTAAATTTGTCAGAGGGAGACAGAGAAAGAGAAAGAGAGCAAGCACAAGCAGATGGAGCGGCAGGCAGAAGGAGAAGTAGGCTCCCCGCTAAACAGGGAGTCCAATGCAGGACTCAATCCCAGACCCTGGGATCATGTCCTCAGCCAAAGACACACGCTTAACCAAGTGAGCCACCCAGGCGTCCCTACTCTTTTAAAAGTAATTATCTTCTTAAAACTTCTTACTCTTCTAACTCTTCTATGTACTTATCCTTGATGTTTTTCCAGATGCTGTCCATTTATCAGATAACTATCTTACCTTCTAAGACCTCCCTCTGCTCTTCCAATTGGGAAGAGTTACTTTCTAGACCTGCTGAGGAGCTGGCACATTGGGACTTCCATTCATTGCATTAGTATACTAGACCTCTTGTGGTGTAGTCTTATGGTTTTTCTTTAATTTTTTCTTTCCTTCTTTGTGTCTTCCTTTTTTCTTTCTCCTTTTCTTTCTGTCTCTCTTACAACTACTTTGTTTTGCTGGAACATATAATCAATCCTCTAGCTTCTTAAGGAGAAGAACATAAGGAGGAGATTAGCATGTCTAAAAACGTTTTTATTCCACCTTGTACTAGACTTATAGTTTGACTATACAACGAAATCTAAGATAAAACTAATTCTGCCTCAGAATTTTGATGTATTCAATGCTCAGTGCTTCCCAGTTCTCTTCAGACAACCTCTTTATCATTTGGTATTCTCAATTTCAAGGCAATCTCTTTTTTCGTGGCCCTTTCAATTTAGAGCTGCATGTCCTTTAGTCCAGGAAACATTTTTATCTTATTTCTTTGATACTTTCTTCCTTTCCTATCTTTGTCTTTGGTTCTTTATTCTAGAACTCCAATTAGACAGGTCCTGGATCTGTGTACTCTTCCTCTAAATCTCCATTCTTTCTGATTTTCCCCTTTTTATCTTATTCTTCCTGAGAGTTCTTTGGCTTTGCTAAGGCTTTATCTCTTGGAATTTAAAATTTCAACTTAACAATTTAGTTCTTATTCTCCAATTATTCTTTTTTTCCCTCTTACATTCTTGTTCTTATATTTTAGTTGCAATACTGTTTTATCTCTTTAAGAATATTAACCATGAGCTATCTTTGAAGTTTTACTTCCTACATTCTCTCTCTCTTTTAATGTTAGGGATTTCCCCCAAATGTTCCAGATCTCTCACAGTCTTGTATCTATTCATATTAAAGAGCACTAAAACTGTGATTAGAAGCAGTGTTTGTGTTAAGGGGCTACATGACTTGAGAGCTTCTCTCTAGAATAGCCCTAGAAAGATCCACTTCGTATTTGGTGGTGAGCCAGCCTTTTGGTCTTTCTTCCAAAAGTCATTAGGTCTTTTCTTTACAGTTCAATGAATTTCTGAAAAGAACCATCTCCTACTTCCTATATGAGCTATGGCTGGCTACAAACTGAGAACAGGATGGCAAAAAGGAAATTTACCTTAATATCAGTTTTCAGTCTTATATCTCTACTCTGTGCCTGGTGTCCCCATATCTAGGAAACCTTCTGGAGAACATACCTCCAGTGCTCTGCCTGAAGAGGCAACTGCCTGTGTGGGGAAAGGATCTGAGGAACAGTCCCATTCCTCCACATACAGACTTCGAAACAACCCTCCTCTTTTCAGCCCATGCCTCACTGGAAGCGCTGATAGCTTCTGACACCTCTAAGTTCTGAATCTCTTGGTATCTGTCAGGGATGAGCTACTCATCAACTAATTTGTATTATCTTCTACAGATATTTTAGTTTGTAACTTACTCATGCTCCGCTAAATTAGTTACTACTCCTTCGGTTGCTTTTCTCATCACAAACTCTTTTCAAATTTCTAATCTGCTGGTATTTCCTCTTTCATCTCTGTCCTTGTAGGTTTATACTTTTAAAATCACACTTACTATTCAGTTTCATGTAGTTTGGGCAAAGAGAAGGGAAAACTTGTTTAATTAGTATTATTAAATTTTCTAATGTTTGCAAGAAGACTAGGTATGTAGAGCTCCTAGAGTAATACCCGGCACACAGTAGGCTCAGAAATTTTGTAAACTCGAAATAAACAAATGATTGGTTTAAAAATGATAATTAGGATATGAAGAAGTCAACTGCCATTAGGAAAACGAGGTGATAAAAGACACGTTTAATGAGCTAAAGATTTAGAATGATAAAATGACAAAATGGTAGTCTCAGAAATCCTGGACATAGTCTAGCATAAATAAGAAAATAGGAGTTCCAAAGAAGTTACATGATTTTCTCAAAATCAGTTAATAAAAGAGTCTGGACAAAAATCCTGATTCCACAGTGACCCTTTCATTCCCTCCGAACATATGAAGACCCCAAATGGCTATAGAAAGCAGGGAGCTACCTGCTCGATAACTGAGGTTCTACATTTGAAGGAGGAAGATAGAGAATATTAAGAGATATACAGTAAGCTTAAAAACTCCTTCATTCTTCACTTCCTTCATCATCAAGGGCAAGTTTCTTTCATATCTGCAGCTTCAAAGTCTTACCTGTTTTTTACTTCCACGTCTGTTTTCTCTCCTCTTCCCCTACCTGTGCTTTGAAGTCTGACTTAAACCTGAATTCATCTGTTGGCAGCTACTGGGGAATAAGGGGCTGCCAGAACAAAGAACAGTCCTACTATAGCCACACTAGAAGCTGTAAAAGGGAATAGTATTTCTACATGAATCTACAGGCTCTGGTTTCAGACTGACTTCTCCTAATTCCTTCTTACATTCCCTAGACATTGAAATAAATTTTTTGGTTTCTTCGAAATGATGCTTCTTAAAATAACTTTTTAAAAACAGTAATTCAGGGGTGCCTGGGTAGCTCAGTGGGTTAAGCCTCTGCCTTCGGCTCAGGTCATGATCTCAGGGTCCTGGGTTCAGGACCCTCATCAGGCTCTCTGCTCAGTGGGGAGCCTGCTTCCCCCTCTCTCTGCCTGCCTCGCTGCCTGCTTGTGATCTCTGTCTGTCAAATAAATAAATAAAATCTTTAAAAAAAATTAAAAAACCCAGTAACTCATTAACAAATATTTATTTCATTTAATTAATTCATGAAAAGATTGCTTATTTATTTATTTATTTATTTGACAGACACACACACACACACACACACACACACACAGAGCTGGAGGAATGGGAGGAGGAGAAGCAGGCTTCCTGGTGAGCAGGGAACCAGATGCGGGGCTCGATCCCAGGACCTCAGGATCATGACCTGAGGTGAAGGCAGATGCTTAATGACTAAGCCACCTGGATGCCCCTTTATTTTATTATTTTTTGAAGATTTTATTTATTTGAGATAGAGTGAGTGAGAGAGAGAGCACGAGGTGGGGGGCAGAAGGAGAGTGAGAAGCAGACTCCCCACTAAGCAAGGAGCCTGATGAGGACTCGATCCCAGAACTCTGGGATCAATGACCTGAGGCAAAGGCAGACACTTAACTGAATGAGCCACCCAGGTGCCCCAATAACAAATATTTAGAGGAGACAAATATCTTACCAGTAGGTTGAGGAAAAACTGGAGGAATGGTTCCGGGTGGTACAGCAGGAGGATAATTTGGAAATATTGGTGGAGGCAAAGGGAAATTCACTCCTAAGGAGCCCTATGGAAGTATTTAAAAGTTAGAAGACAATGCAACAAAAACATCTATAGAGATTAATTAAAAGTTTAGTAGAGAAGTCATGATCAATTCTTACCAATTGTTGTAAAGCAAAAAGTGCGGCTTTTTCCTTGGCTTCATTTTCAGAATGGCACTGTGGCCCATGTACCAGTAAGCCATTAGATAATTTTACCTGGCAAACTGTCATTGTCTAAAGAAGAGAATATGAAATGTCTATAAAGTTAACTGTCTAGGATATTGGCTTCCTCCCCCCACGCTTAGTCTAAACAAGCAGAATAATTTCATGTGACATCCTGTAAAAAAGAATTCAAAAACTCAAAAGGGCAATCAATTTAGTTTTGGGTTGCCCTACTAAAACTTTAGAATCATTTCCTAATCTTGCAATGTTTATAAAATAAAATGCTCTTCAAGCTAGCTGAAGTATCAAGAATCCTAATGCAAATGAAAGCCAATAAAATTTTTTCTTTATACCAAGGGTTAGGAAACTAGGCCTTTTGCTTGTTTTTGTAAATAAGGTTTGTTTCAGTTTTTGGGATTTTTGCAATACAGTCAAGTCCTTTCATGTATTGCCTATGTCTGTTTTCATACTATAACAGCCCAGCTGAGTAGCTGTGACAGAGACCATGAAGCCTAAAATATTTACTATCTGGCCCTTGAAAAAAAAAATTTGCTGACTCCTGCTTTACACATTCCTCTGAATAGCAGATATTTCATTAATATGAATTAACTGTCAAAATCTAAAAGACTTACTGGTAATGACCAATTTCATGTTCACATTTTAAGGTATATAACTCTCTATTATACATTTTTTCTTTTACAAAAAAATTAAAAAAAATTCTACTTATTTTTATGTAATAATATTAATTTTTTTTTAAAGATTTTATTTATTTATTTGACAGAGAGAGAGATCACAAGTAGGCAGAGAGACAGGCAGAGAGAGAGGAGGAAGCAGGCTCCCCGCTGAGCAGAGAACCTGACACGGGGCTCGATCCCAGGACCCCGGGATCATGACCTGAGCCGAAGGCAGAGGCTTTAACCCACTGAGCCACCCAGGCACCCCATAATAATATTAATTTAAGATTGCTTTGTTTTAGGTGAGAATGTATTAAGAACTTGGATAAAAAGAAGATAAAACAAACTTTCCTATAGTAAGTGGTTCTCAAGGTGCAGTCAGGGCAGCCTGGGGGTCCCTGAAACCCTTTCAGGAGGTCCTTGAGGTCAAAACTATTTTCATAATAATATTAAGGTGCTATTTGCCTTTTCCACTCTTAGTTTCTCACAAGTATACAGAAGACAGAAAATCCACTGGAATAGCTTTAAATTCTACACTGCAACTAACTTCTAAGAAAATACCACATTTAAATGTAGTATCAAAAAAATATCCATTATGGGGCGCCTGGATGGCTCAGTTAAGTCTCTGCCTTCGGCTCAGGTCATGATCTCAGGATCCTGGGATCGAGCCCCACATCGGGCTCTCTGCTCAGTGGGGAGCCTGCTTTCCCCTCTCTCTCTGCCTGCCTCTCTGCCTACTTGTGATCTCTGTCAAATAAATAAATAAAATCTTAAAAAAAAATATCCATTATCTGAAAAGATTATTAAAATTCTTTCCCTTTCTCTATCAATCTGTCTGGGGCCAGATTTTCTTCAGGTATTTCAACCAAAACATAACACAAGAGATTGATATTAAGAAGTGGATATGAGAATCCAGCTTCTTCCATTAAGCTAGAGATGGAAAAGACTTGCAAAAATGTAGAGCAGTGCTATTCTTCTCAATAAGTTTTTGAAAAGTTATTTTTAATAAATATTTTTAATTTTTTTCAATTTCAGTTTCTAATAGAGTTAATAAGAACATAACCCAAGTAAACAAAAACTTTGGCAGAACCTCAAAAAAAAAAAACAGTGGGAGTTTATGAAGCCAAAAGTTTGAAAGCTGCTGCTGTAGACAGAGATCCCTGGCTCTATCAATCTGTCCAGGCTATGTGCTGCCCAGGTTTCCTCTTTGTCAGCATCTCTGTGGGCTCTGGCATAAATGTGAGTGAGCCATAGTGGGAAGTATAAATCTATGCTGCTCATAAAGAAAAAGAAAAAATCAGCTCCATTATATTATTTTTGCCAAAGATTTTCAGTCAGTTTATTTAAGTTCAATGTTAACTAAGTTACATAAATGCAACAGTAGTATACTGTACCTGTGGCGTTCTAAGAAAGGAGAAATCTGGTTGTGGCATTCCAATAAGGGAACAAATTCGAGAAAGTTCAGTTACTGGTGTGGACACAGGAGGGATATGGCTGGGAGCAGGCCAACACACATGGTCCATAGACTGAACATTATGGTATTCGCTAGTACTGTGAGGCTTATTCATGTAAGATGCTACCAAAAAACAGAAAAGGATATATATACAGATATTAAACTATATATTGAGCTCTGCAATTATTATAGAGTTTTATAGATAGCAAGCAGAAAATTGTTAAAAGATGAAAAAAGGAAGCTCTCATGAAGCAAATTATTTAGTATTGTCTAAAATAACCAAGAATTCAATAGAGATTTTTAGATGATTATAACTGATTAATGATACATGACTAAGATAAAGATTTTAAAATATTGTAAGTAGCTGACTACAAAAACCTGAAATCTTGAGAGAGCAATGACTATATAGCTATGTTTGAGCAAAGCTATGTTTGAATAAGCAGTTTTCTTGAGCTGATTTACAATTAAATCTTAAGTTTTGAGGGGCACCTAGGTGGCTCAGTGGGTGAATCCTCTGCCTTCGGCTCAGGTCATGATCTCAGGGTCCTGGGATGGAGCCCCGCATCAGGCTCTCTGCTCAGTGGGGAGTCTCCTTCCCCCCCTCTCTCTGCCTGCCTCTCTGCCTACTTGTGATCTTTGTCTGTCAAATAAATAAATAAAATCTTAAAAAAAAATTTTAAGTTTTGAGGCTTTGGCTTCAGTCTTACTTGTCAAAATTCCATCTTACGTTCTGTGACACATGGATAAATGGTTTGGTTGCTCCCAAATGATGCTGCTTAGAAGTTTTTTCTAAAGGTAACCCTTTAAAAAGTGCTTTTATAGAAGATGATTAAAACATTCTGAAAGTTCACATTCTTTATGATCAATAAACTGGCTAATAGAACAAGAGCATATCCCAGTGAAGAATGAAACTAAACCTCTTATTATTACAGATTAAAAAAAGGTTAAGTGGCTTGCCCAAAGTCACAGAACTGATTAACTCTGTATTTTGGGCTGGACTCTGAGGTTTTGACTCTAAGAGATAAGATATTCTTCACTATTCTGAAATAAAGTTGAATTGTTTTTGACAGTAGAACCATCTTTTTCCAGTTTTGTTTTAAAATTTTATTTTGTTCTACTTTAAGAGCATGTGTGTCACCATGATAGTTTCCTAATAGTTATTGGAATTTTAAATTAATCATTTATTCTAATATTCACTAAAATAGAAGATAAATGAAGCTAGGCTCTGATTTTGTTTCAGATTTTGATCCTTAATGAACTCAGATCTATTTAAAAATTTTTTTACCTCTAGAAACTTCTGTCCCCACTTACTTTTATATTAGTCATTCTTCCTAGGAGGCTTCTGTAGATAATTTACAGAGGCATAATACTAAAGTATCGGGGACACAGACAGTAGGAGCAATGATGGATGTGTATTAAAATCTGGCTATGTACCAGATGGTATACTATAGGCTTCACAGTTTTAAGATAAGTACCTACTTTCCAATGTCTACATTCAGTCTTTTTTTTTTTTTTTTTTTAAAAGAGAGGGACAGAGAAAGAGGGGTTGGGGCAGAGGGTAAGGGAGAAAGAAAATCCCAAGCAGGCTCCATGCCCAGCACGGAGCTTGATGCAGGGCTTGATCCCACAATCCAGAGATAATGACCTAAGCCAAATCAAGAGTTGGACGCTTAACTGAATGAGCCATCGAGGCACCCCTCTATTAATTTCTTTTTAAAAAGATTTTATTTATTTATTAGACAGATCACAAGTAGGCAGAGAGGCAGGCAGAGAGAGGAAGGGAAGCAGGCTCCCCGCTGAGCAGAGAGTCCGATGCGGGGCTTGATCCCAGGACCCTGGGATCATGACCTGAGCTGAAGGCAGAGGCTTTAACCCACTGAGCCACGCAGGTGCCCCATCTATTAATTATTTCTAATTGATTTTATCACTTTTTCTATTTTTATGTCAGGCAACCTATTGTAACATAGTACTAATATCAATTATTGGTACCTATAATAAGCCAGACACAGTGCTAACTGCTTTATATGTATCATATAATTATCACAAGTCATTTGCAATGTTATTCTGATTTTGTAAATAGAAAAAAAATCTTAAAATCTTAGTAAAGTGAAATAACACACTTAAGTTACATAATTGTTTTTAAATTACTGAGAAAAAAAATCTAGAATCTAAAAACTTTTCTATGTTTGGGTACTACAGAATGAATATCTGTAATAGCACAATTTAAGTAATCCTAAGACAGAGACTACAAATCTAATGGTTACAGAGTTATATTATTATTTAATAACACAAGCATAAAAATTATACTCTTATTTGTTACTCTTACTTATACTCCTTTAAAAATATAAGTAGTTTTATCTTCAAAAAGCACATGACAAAAATACCCCAAATTAACTGAAGTTTTGAAATGATATTGGTTATTAGTAATAGTACTTAGTTTAGTTTACATACTTAATTTCTTATTTTGTTTAGCCTGGGAGAAAAGTCCATATTCATCTCTTCTATTAGAGGAAACATTGACTTCATTACCAAACTGCTTCGTTTCATTTTTATGGTCCACAGCATCAGAGCCATCAATTTTTAGTATTTCTTTAAGCATCCGAGTTCCCTTCTGTTTTGAAAATGATTGGTACAGAGATGGACAAAAGTTAACATTAGAATTACAGAGTTTATTAACCCTTCTTTTAAAGAGTTTCATTATTAAAAATTAAGATGGTAACTACATTCAGATAGGGAGTTAAGCAAAATCAACAATCTAGAGTTGAAAAAAAATAACCACATTTTCTGCCACAGAAAACAATACTTAATCCTTCTGCTTAACCTAACCAAACTGCCTGGTAGCAATGTTTGAAAAGCAAGGGAGCTATATGGTTTAAAGAGGAAAACAAACAATCAAACAAACAAATAAATAATTGAGCAGGGCAGCCTGGTTTTCCTAACAAAATGTCAATATGATGCAACACTCCAGTACATAGGAGACCAAACTGTTTTAAGAGTTACATGGGGTAGGTATGCAGAGGCCACAACAGTGAAGTTACTACAGTATGAAAGCTCCTACAAAATACGAACCATAGCAAATGACTGTGGTGACAAAAGTTCTTCACTTGGAGGCTCTTCATGATGAGATGATTGTACTTCATTTTCTTTGGAGATATTCAAGGACGCTAAAAAGTTCTCAATTCTAGGATTTGGCTAAAAGAAGAAATATTTTGTGCATGAAGAAAGATGAAAGTAGAAGGACATGGAAACAGTTAAGAATTTTAGGTACAAAAATGATACCATAATTTCCAGTCAATCATCTTCCCAGGAGCCAAAGTTCGGGAAGAGAAATTGAATGAATGGTTTTTTACCTTATCAATAGCATTTGGGTAACCAGTCACAACCTTTTGGTTTTCTGAGACTTCTGCACTTTCATTTCTCTTCAATAGCTTAATATTACATTTGGCAGGCCCTCCAAACATCTATAAAAGAGTAAGAATGAGCTTTTTGTGCAAATATAATAATAAAATAACTGTCACTTAATAGTGTTCTAAATAAATTGCTGCAAATTTTTTATGTGTCATTTTCTTTTCTATCATAAGGGGACCTGTAAACTTGGATGAGAAAAAAAACTCAGACCTTTATCTTCATTAACTTCTAAATGAATTTAGAAGTTTTTCTTCAATTATGAATGTAGGCAATAAGGTGATTCTAATTGTATCTCAATATAATTAATTTTCTTTCAAATCTTATGTATTTTATTTTAGCATTAAAAACATTATTCTGAGAAAGAATCCATAAAAAAGTTTATAAAACCCTCTCTAGAAGAAAGGAAATTATAGCTAAGAGTTTCAGAAAAAGAAGGCTTTAAAAGTCAACCATTTACTGGTATCTAAATATTAATGGGTTCCATTTACTGAGAACCTGTTATGTGCCAAATATACTGCTGTCTTTAATAAATTTGATAAATTACTAGCTTATAAGGGATCTAATTTTTAAAAACTTTTTATTAAAATAATACACATATAGAAAGTACATATATCATTAGCGTCCCTGAATGTTTTTAGAGTAAATATTTGTTAATCTTTGATTGTAAAATGTGTATATTCTCCTTATCGATCAGCAAAGACTATATAAAATAAAACATAAATGATCTCAGCTTCCTCCCACCAAGCTACTCCACAGAATTAACTATTAACTTTGCTATGTTGATTCAAATGATTCACTGAATACATGCACATATTTTTACACATTTTATACATATATTCATGTATGTAGGTATGTTCATATGTATGTAGGTACATATGTATATATAGACTACATACAAGGAGTGAGATGAGTGATCTATTTTTACTCCATTTTAAAGAAGAAGATAGTTGGGCGCCTGGGTGGTTCAGTGGGTTAAGCCGCTGCCTTCGGCTCAGGTCATGATCTCAGGGTCCTGGGATCGAGTCCCGCATCGGGTTCTCTGCTCAGCAGGGAGCCTGCTTCCCTCTCTCTCTCTGCCTGCTTCTCTGTCTACTTGAGATCTCTGTCAAATAAATAAATAAAATCTTAAAAAAAAAAAGATGAAGATAGTTGAGGATGTGAGAGGTACAGTGAATTGCTCAAGGCCACCCAACTTTTAAATATATATGTATGTATATATTTGCGTGCGTGTATATGTGTGTGTATATAAATATCTCTAGTCCCAAATCCTGACTCTAGCTGTGTAACCTCCCATCCAAGTGACAGGCAGTTGCTACACTTCAGCAATCTTTTTGTCATACACCTTAATGGATTAGGGCTGCAAAATTCAGATGCCACAGAGCTACCAATGGTAAAAAAAGGTGGCTACTAGAAATTTGATTTAAGAAAGCTTACCTGTTTATTTGACATTTTTTGTAACCGATTCTCAGTTTTAGGACTTTTACACTCTTCTTTAACTAGGAACAAGAAAATAGGAATTTTGGTAAGTGAAAAATATTGCTACAAACCAGTTAAATTTACCAAATATTTGCCACAGCAAGGCACTGTGTTGCTGTGCTGAAAATTCACAGAATTCTAAGAGGACAAAGGCCCTCATCTTGAAAAACTTGTAGAAGAGCAGAAGAGATACAGATATAAGGGAAAAGGAAAGGTGACATGCAATTGAGTCTCCAAGAACATAAATTTGCAAAGGGCAGAGTAGAAGGCTAAGCATTCCAGGCAAAGGAAATAACAGGAGAAAAGAAATGGAAGCAAAAAACAAGGAATTTATTTACGGAACTCTTAGACTAGTTTTGTTGGAGGTCAAGGAGCATCACAGAGCTAATGTGATGGGAAACGGGCAACCAATCACAGAAAGGTTTTGAGAAGCAGTGATCTGATCAGAACTGTGCTTTAGGGAGATTAAAATATGGCAGTAGCTTATCAAATAGATAGGAGAGTAAGAGAAAAACTAGGAAGTTATTTTAGTATTCCCGTTAGGAGGAAATAGGGAAAATGGTAGGAAAAATGAAAAGGACAAATTAGAAGAGGAAGGAAAAGGGGTGCCTGGGTGGCTCAGTCAGTTAAACATCCTGGGATTGAACCCTGCACTGGGCTCCCTCCTCGGCAGGGAGCCTCTTCTCCTTGCCCTGTTCCCTCTACTTGTGTTCTCTCTGTCAAATAAATAAATAAAATCTTAAAAAAAAAAAAAAAAGGAAGAGGAAGGAAGAAAGGAAAAAAAGGAGGAAGGAACAAAGGAGGAAAGAGAAGGTGAGAAAAGAAGCAGGGAGAAGGTATGGGAAGGAAGGTAGGGACGGGATGAAGAGAGAAGGGAAGAAATGAACAAAGATAGGAAGATAGTGAACAGAAGAGGGGACATAAAAAGGGGAGGGGAGGAGAGGAAAGGGAGGTAAGGGAAGTAAGGGAAGTAAGGGAGAAAGGAAGGAAGTAATTTTACAAAAAGAAGGAAATAAAAAAGCAAGTTTACATATACTGACTTTAAGCGTTTGTTGAGACACACACCAAAACTAAATTGGAATTCCAAATAATGTAGTTTACATACATTCATGTAAATAATAATTTGAAGAAAAAATAGCAACATATTTCAATTAAATATAAAATCTTTAAGCTGTATTTATCAGACTTATAAGGACATTAATCTATAGGTAACTTAAAATGTAAAAGAAACAAAAATAACAGATATTCATGCAAAAAATAGTTTAGCAGTTATCAAACTGAACCAAAGTTATAAAGCCACATATTTTTCTTGGAAACAGCTTTTTAGAAAAATATTTTAAAAGACCATTCTTGGCGCACCTGGGTGCCCAGGCTCAGTTGCTTGAGCATCTGACTCCTTGTTTTGGCTCAGGCCATGATCTTGTGGTCATGGGATCATGGGATTGAGCCCTGAGTGGTGGTCAGGTCTCTGCTTAGTGGGGAGTCTGCTTCTCTCCCTCTGCTCCTTCCCCCACTCATTCCCTCTCTCTCTCTCTCTCTCTCTCTCTCTCAAATAAATAAATCTTAAAAAAAGAGACCATTCTTATACTATATTATATATACATAAAATACATGCATATATAAAATATAATAAATTAGACTCAGGATACTGCATGAGATATTTCCTCTGCTGGAATGCTCTCCAGCAAATGTTTTGCATAGCTTATCCCTTTATTTGGGTCTCTGCTCAAATGTTTTATCCTCAGAGAGGCATTCATTCTGTGACTACTCTATAAAATACCACCCCTACCTATACTTTTAATCTGCTTTATTTTTCATCATAGCACTTATCATTACTACACATTATGGAATTTATTGAATAGGGTTTTTTGGCGGGCGGCGGGGGGGGGCTATTGTTTTGCCTATTATCAGTTTCCACCTAAAAATGTAAAGTCCATTAGTCTGGAAGACTTGTCTGTCTGGTTCACTCATATATCCCTACCACCTAAAATAGTACCTTGTACATATAGCTCAATAAACAGCAGCTGAATAAATAAATGAATGAATAACAAATGAAATGAAAAGGAAGGAATGAAATGAAATGAAAAACAAATGAAAAACAAAATCATACTTTGAACTTAAAGAGTAATTTGCAATAATTTGGGAATATTTTGATCAAGAGAGAGAAAAACTAACTGCAAGATGAAGATTCTCATCTCTGTATCTGCATTCCCCACTGTGCCTGAAACATAGTAAGCACTACTGAAGGACTGAAATAAAAATCTATATATTATGTAAGAGAATATTAACAAAATATACATATTTTAAATAAAAAATTGTAACATAGGTTAGAGTAATTTAATAGGCAAGTGTTTACACACAAAAAAGTAACTGGATTATGCTGAATAAAATTTATTTCAAAAAGTAGTGAGGGGACATCAGCCAAAAAGTCAGAGTAAGGACCTTTAAAAATTCTGTGCTCCATAAAAGAACAAGAAAATGGGCATAAGGTTGGGGGAACAAGGTGGTGGGTATTAGAGAGGGCACGTATTGCATGGAGCACTGGGTGTGGTGCAAAAACAATGAATACTGTTACGCTGAAAATAAATTAAAAAAAATGGGGGAAAAATAAAGAGAATGGGCATAAATTACCTGAATCCAAATTTTTAGAGTTACAGAAATTAATCAAAGGCCCATAGCAATCTGAGGGATATTTACTCCAGAAAAAAGACCGACTCTCCCAATAGTGAGCTTTATGGCTGAACCTGCCCTAGTCTCAATCCCTACTCTACAACTCTAAGTAGCCTTAAAAAATAGCAGCCAGCAGTTTTTGGTGAAACCAATAACCTGGCAGCTACCAGAGACCAGAATGAGCCTGAGCTCTTCCAAAATATTACTCCTCACATTCTGTAAGGTCAGTATTACCATGATTTCACAATCAAAGATATCACAAGAAAAGGAAATGACAATTATCCTCTATGTATATAAATGCTAAAATAAAATCCTCAACAAAATACTAGCAAATTAAATCCTGTGGTATATAAAAAAGATTAAACTCCTAGACAAAGTAGGATTTATTCCAAGGCAAAGTTGGTTCAACATATAAAAGACAATCAATGGAATCTACCATATTAATTAAGCACAGAGATAGCAACTGAAAAAAATCTAATATTCCTTCAAGAGGGAGCAAAACCAACAACCTAAGAACAGAAAGGAACTTCCTCATCTAATAAAGGGCGTTTACCAAAACCCATAGCTAATATTAGGCTTAATGCTGACAGACTGAAAGCTTACTCCTAAGATCAAGACAATTAAGGGTGTTCATTCCTATTACTTCTATTCACCACTGCATTGGTGGTTTTAGTTAGCTACAGCAATTAGGCAAGAAAAAGAAATACAAGAAATCACATAAAAAGAAGTAACACTATCTCTATTTGCCAAAGCCACAAAAAATTAGGGCTAATAAACAAGTTCAGCAAGGTAGCAGGATATAAAATCAATATACAAAAGTCAGCTTTATCTCTATAAACAGCACTGAACAATCCACCCCCAATCACCAATTAAGAAAACAGTTCCACTGACAATAGGGGTGTCTGGGTGGCTTAGCGGGTTAACTGTAAGACTCTTGGTTTTGGCTCAGGTCATGATTTCAGGGTTGTGGGACTGAGCCCTACACTGGGCTCCATGCTCAGTGTAGAGTCTGCTGGAGATTCTCTCCTCTCTCTTCCCCTCTGCCCCTCCTCTAGCTCTTTCTCTAAAAAATTAAAATTTTGAAAAAAAAACCCCAAACAAACCAAGAAACAGTTTCACTGACAATAAATAGCATTTACAATAAGATACTAGGAATAAATTTTTCAAAAGATGTAAGACTTGTACACTGAAAACTGTAAGACATCATTGAAGGAAATTAAAGACTTAAATAAATGGAGATACTTTATGTTCATGGATTAAGTTTTCAAGGAAAACTTAATATTATTAAGAGGATAATACTCTCCAAAATAATCTATAGATTCAACACAATCTCAATAAAAATTCCAGCTGCCATTTTCACAGAAACAGGCAAGTCGATCCTACAATTCATACAGAAATGCAAGAGATCAGAACAGACAAAACAATGTTGAAAAAGAAAAATAAAGTCGGAGGACTCAAAGTTTCCAATTTCAAAACTTAAAACAAACCTGTGATAATTAAGATAGTTTGTTCTTTGCATAAAGATGGTATATAGATCCATGGAATAGAACTGAGAGGTCAGAAATAAACCCATACATCTATGGTCATGGTCAACTGATGTATAACAAGGGTGCCAAGAGAATTCAATGGGCAAAGAACAGTCTTTCAGCAAGGGGTGCTGAGACAACTGGAGATCCACATTACAAGAATGAATATGGACCCCTCCCTTGTACCATATACAAACACTCAGAAATGGGAAAAAAAGACCTAAATATGAGAGCTAAAACTACAAATCTCTTAAAAGAAAAGATAGGTATAAATCTTTGTGACCTTAGATTATGCAATGGTTTCTTAGATATGATACATAAAGCACAAGTAATCAAAGAAAAAGTAGAAAAGATAAATTAGAATTGACCAAAATTAAAGATTTTTGTTTTAAGGACACTATAAAGTTAAAAAGACAACCCACAGAATGACAGCACATATTTGCAAATCAAATATCTGAATATGTATGTAGCATGCAGAAGAGGTAAAGGACTCACACACTCAAGGATGAAAAGAAAAAGAACTCAATTTTTTAAATGAGCAGAGGACCTGAATAGACATTTCTCCAAAGATACACAAATTACTGATTAGCACATGAAAAGATGCCCAATGTTATTAGTCATTAATGAATCACAAATGAAAACCACAGAGAAACTTCACTTTACACCTGCCAGAGCTGCTGTAATAAAAAAGATGGGCAATAACAAGTATTATGGAAGATGTAAAGAAACTGGACTCTCATATATTGCTGGTGGGAAACACCAGTTAGCAAAGTTTGGTAGTTCCTTAAAAAGTTAAACACAGAGTTAACATATGACTAATTCTACTGAACTGGATGTATACCTAAGAGAACTGCAAATATATGTTCAATCAAAAACTTCTACATGGATAGTCACAGCAGCATTAATTATAGCGCCAAAGTGGAAAAACCCAAATCTCCATCAATGGATGAATTGATAAACAAAAATGTAGTATTCACAGAACAGACTATTATTCAGCCATAAAAAGGACTGCAAAAAAAAAAAAAAAGAAGCATTAATACATACTACAACATGGATGAATCCTGTCTTCATCATGCCAAGTGAAAGAAGCCAGTCACAAAAAGTCACAAATTTTATGATTACATGAAATGTCCAGACAAGTCAATGCATAGAGGCAGAAAGTAAATTAATGGTTGCCAGGGGGCTGGAGGAATGACCGCTGATAGATACGGTGTTTCTTTTTGGGGTAAAGAAAGTGTTCTAAATTTAGAGAATTGCATAGGTTTACAATTTTATAAAAACAACACAAAAATCACTGATTAAATACTTCAAAAAATGAATTTTAGGTATGTGAATTATAACTCAGTAAACTGTAATAATAAAAAAGAAACCAGTTAGCATCATAAGTATATTTTTAACTTTCAACTTACATTTCCTGTGAGCCTCATGTTTTCTTTGCTGACATTTAACACTGTTGTCAGTAAAGCCAGATTTATGATGTTGAGTTACTTGACTTATTTCTTGAGGTAGAACTGTAACCTGAAAGTTAAAATTCTTATAAATGAATTAAAAACAAACAAAACTACCTTTCCTCGAAGTGATAAAATATTTGGTTGTAGAACTAAACAATAGGAGAGCTGACACTTGAGCTCTAACACTAAAACCCATGTTCACAGTACCATAGCAGAGAAAAAGTATGCCAGAAGTTTAATTAGAAAGTATTCTAGTTTTGGGTATAGTTTATTGGGTTGTTCTATCTGATATCTACATAAAGTTATTTATTACTCCCATTGTCATATTTTGCCAGTAAAGACTTAAATTTTTTTAAAAACAAGACTTTTTTAAAGAGTTTTTGGTTTATGACAAAATTGAGACAAAGGTACAGAGATATTTCATATCCTTTCTGTCTCCACACATGTACAGCATTCTCCATTATCAACATCCTCCACCAGAGTGGTATATTACTACAACCAATGAACTAACACTGACACATCATTATTACTCAAAGACTATAGTTTACATTGGGTTCACTCTTGGTGCTGTATGTTCTATGTGTTCAGGCAAATGTATAATGACATGTATCCACCATTATAGTACCACACAGATTATTTTCAGTGCCTTAAAAAGCTTCTGTGTTCTATCTACTGATCCTTCCCCCAAACCCTGGGCAACCACTGATCTTTTTACTGTCTCCATAGTGTTGCCTTTTCCAGAAGCTTGAATACTTTTTATTTTTTAAAAAATATTTATTTATTTATTTATTTATTTATTTATTTATTTGACAGACATCACAAGTAGGCAGAGAGGCAGGCAGAGAGAGAGAGGAGGAAGCCGGCTTCCTGCTGAGCAGAGAGGCCGATGCAGGGCTTGATCCCAGGACACTGGGATCATGACCTGAGTTGAAGGCAGAGGCTTTACCCACTGAGCCACCCAGGTGCCCAGCTTGAATATTTTTTAAAAAATCATGTTGAGTTGTCTGGAATATGCTTATCAGATGAACACCAGGTTGCTTATTAATGCTTCACGGATTTAAGTGATATATGTGGTGGCTCATAATTCTTGGAATATATAGGAGGAAATACAACATGACAGTGTTTAGCTGATACAAATAATGAAATAGCACCCAATAACAGGAGCAGCATGCAGAAGATTCTGAGGAAATATAATATCAGGTGTTCAGTTCCTTCTCAAGGCAATAGGCAATAAAATGACTACGAGAACTTTGGAGATCTAGGGGAATTTTGGTTGTGAGAGAGGAAAAGTAGAAGGAACAGTAAGAACACATAACCTGAAATGGGAATTACCTACTTGTCGGGAAGGGAAAATAAACAGACCAATCTTACTAGAACAGACCATTTTACCAAAGAGTTGAATACACTTTATATAAGAATTACGTAGAGTTCGATATAGAAGGGCTAGATATTAGTTTCACTTGAGGCTGAATTCCACTAGTACTGAACAGAGAGCACTATACATTCTGTAATATTTGAATAACATTCTTTGGGGCACCTCGGTTAAGCAACTACCTTTGGCTCAGGTCATGATCCCAGAGGGTTGGGATCAAGCCCCACAACGGGCTTCCTGCTCAGGGGCAGACTACTACTCCCTCTGTCCCTCACTCTACTCTCATGCTCCCTCTCCATCTCCAATAAATAAATTAAATCTTAAAAAAAAAAAATAACATTCTTTTAGGACTGAAAAAGAGGTCATCTAAGTCTAATGCCTTAATTTTGCACATGAGGCCACAGAGGCCCAAGGAAATTAGAGTTGCTCAAATTGAGGCACCAAATCTGACTTTCTGAGTCCAGTGCCAGATTGATTACACCACAGTGCCTCAGGGAACAAACAAAGGTCAAACCGAGAAGTCTTTATTAATTAGGTATTTTGCCCAGTTATGCCATTAGGCCAATACAGGTGAAAGGATCATCAAGAAAGATCAACAGGAAAGATACATCAAACAGTACTGTGTAAGAAGGACTAAAAAGGAAAGAGAAAAGAAGCGGGAAGCACAGATAGGAGGTTTATCTAGGCTTAGGATGACAGTCTAAGGCCCAATTGTGGGAACTGGCAAGAAATAAAAAGATTTGGAATTTCACCGCAAAAAAAAAGGGGGGGGGGAGAAAGGAAAAAGGTTTTACTCTCTTCTTTTCAGATTATATGCCTGGGGAAATGGCAGTGTTAGAAATAAGGATAAGAAGCTTTAGATGAGGTCAATTCTAAAACATCTTTTGGCTGAGGTGATGGTGGGATGTCCATCTATACCTGCCTTCTAGAAAATTGGAGATATTGGCTTAGATTGATCCTGATTGAGAAATATGGATCACATAGCTTGAGTGGTTAAATTAGCAGCAAGGTAAGAGCCAACATCACCAAACAATAAACAAAGGTGGAGAAAAAAAACAGTTTTTCAGTTTTTGGGAACAGTGCCCAGAGAATAGTTGGAAAAACAGAGGTTAAGAAAGAAGCTGAAGGGGCGCCTGGGTGGCTCAGTGGGTTAAAGCCTCTGCTTTCAGCTCAGGTCATGATCCCAGGGTCCTGGGATCAAGCCCCGCCTTGAATTCTCCGCTCAGCAGGAAGCCTGCTTCTTCCTCTCTCTCTGCTTGCCTCTCTGCTTACTTGTGACCTCTGTCTGTCAAATAAATAAATAAAATCTTTAAAAAGAAAAAAAAAAAAAAGAAGCTGAATAAGAAGCAAAAGGTAAGAGGAGAGTCAGGGTAATGTTTCCTTTTAGAGTATAACTCCTTGAAGGAATTGCCTATTCTACTACCTCCAATTTTTCTTCTCCCCTTCTCTCTTGAACACACTCTTCTTGGTATTTCACTCTTACCACTCTACTGGAAGTGCTCTTGTCAAGATTCCCAGTGACCTCAGGTGTAAAACTCTATGGTCAATTCTCAAGTTTTCATTTCAACTGATCCACTGCCAGCATTTGACACAGTTGATTACTCTTCTTGACATCCATTCTTCACTTGGCATCTACAACACCACACTTTACTGGTTTTCTCTGGCTCTTTAAGGATGGAATTCTCTAAGGCTAAGTTGTTAGACTTCTCTATCTATATCCACTTCCTTGGATATAGATAAACAGATACACATACACATGCCCAAATTTCTCCCTCCAGATTGGACATCCTCCATAACCATCAGAATCAATGTCCAACACTATATCTCTACTTAAATTTCTTTTTTTTTTTTTTTCCTTAAAGATTTTATTTATTTACTGGAGAGAGTAAGTAAGTGAGAGAACATGACCAGGGGGAAGAGCAGAGGGAGAGGGAGAAGAAGTCTCCTCACTGAGCAGGGAGCCTGATGTGGGACTCAATCTCCTCCGGGATCATGACCTGAGCAGAAGGCAGACACTTAACTGACTGAGCCACCCAGGCACCCCTCTATTCAAATTTGTAACTTGTATCTCCACTTAGATGTTTAATATACATCTCAAACTTACTATGACCAGAATTGAATTCCAGATCCTCCTCCATAATCCTACTTGACTTGCAACCTTCTCTATCTCAGGTAACAGCCACTCTATCCTTTTAGTTACTAAGACCTTAAGAGTCACACTCTTTAATCCATATTTTTCTCTCTTAACCCTTTACCTAATTCATCATTAGATGGCAATTCCTTCAAATATGCCTAGAATTTAATCACTTCTCCATGCTCCTATTATTCTGGTTCAAGTCAATATGAACTCTATCTTGATGATTCCAGTAATCTCCTAAATAATGTTTCCATCCTGGCTCCTCTATGTTCTATTCTTAAGATAGCAGATAGAATGATCCTATTAAAATATAAATCAGATCGTGTCATTCTGTTGCTCAAAATGCTTCACTGATTCCTCATCTCACTAAATAAAAAACGATATCCTTATAATGTCCCAGAAGGTCCTGCATGGTATCTAATTACAGTTCCTGTAACTCAGCCTATTGATTCAAAACTATAATGGTCTTTTTTCTCTTCCTTGAGTACACTGAAATTGTCTTCCCAACAGGGTCTTTGAATATCTCTAGAACACTCTCCTCTCAGATATCTACTTAGATACTCTATTCCTCATTTCATTCAAATCTTTACTCAAATGTTACTTGATCATTCTATTTAAAACTGCAAAACCTTGCCTCCCCCTCCTGCCAACATTCTCTATGCTCCTTCTCTGAAATTTTTCTCAAACTTTTTAATTACCATCTAATATACCATGTAATTTACTTATTTATTGTCCTCTCCTCCCTAGAATACTAATTGTTTGAGGGTCAGAATTTTTGTTTTGTTTACAGCTATATTCTCATTACGTAGAACAATGCACATGAAAGGCACTCAATAAATACAAGTTGAATGAATTAATGAAATGAATGAATGATAACAAAGCATTCCTAATAAATGAATGGTTAGTGGTACCAAATAAATTAGAGAGGAAAAGAGGGTTTGAAACTCAGATATAGACAGCATTTAGGTAGTAAGGATTTATGGATGATCTAAGCAAAACTTAGCATATTGGCAGAAGAGCCCTGTGTATTTTGTCACTCTCACTTTTAGGTTTATTTTACCATAATATCCTTTGCTACTTTCTTCCTCTACTCTGAAAATGTCACCATCACTGGAAGACATTAGAATAAATGAGGCCTCCATTGTGCAGGCTACTGATTTATAAACTTGAGAGAATATTCTTTCTTTACCTACGCTGTGAAGATAGGTCAGTAACTAGCAAAAAATGTTGTAGGAATTTATTTCTTAACTGTTCCTTTTTTTTTGGTCTGAGTCTACTTTTTTAGCAGAATTTCTTTTCCATTCTTAATTTATACTAAGGAATGTGAATTTGCTCATTCATATTTAAGACAACCAAGTGCTAACATATAGCTCCACATTCAAGTGGAAATTAATTAGTTAATAGTTAATGATAAGTGCATTAAGGCCTTTGCTGAATTTAAAATATAGTTATTGAGATTCTGCAAACAACTAAAACAAAATCTAAAATAATTTAAAAGAAAAATTATCTATATTCCTTCTCCTGAGTCCAAAAACTTTTATATATGGCTGAAGAGAATTATGAAAATTCATGATTAAAACTGTTATTTCTATTTTATGAGATTTGGGGAAAAAAAAATCATTGCATGCTCACAAGAGAAATGTAAATTTTGTTTTTTAGAATTAAATGTCTATCAAACAAGGTATACTAACCTTCTCTTGTAGAGTTGGCTGAAAATGTTGAACCTTTCCAGATCCCTGTAAGGACTGCCAAATGTTGCAAAACTCATCATCATCTTTAGTAGGTACCTGGCAAAGCACAAAAAGTTTCTTAAGGAACTGAAATACGAGAAAAAAAATAAGGATTTATATTAAAATAAAAAAATTCATTAGTTATTTAGTAGTACACAAAATATTAACTTCCATTATCTGAATCTCAGTTCTTTTTTTCTGGAGCTCAGTATAGTCATCATAAAAATATTCTATTGGAGTAAAAATGGTCTTTATCATTTGTAATTGGTTTTGAATGGTTTTACTAAAAAGTATTTAAAGCATGAAAAATGCTATGGAAGATTATATTAAATTAATATCCCTACCAGTAGATTTTTTTTTTTAGTCTTCCAATGTACTGATATCTCATTCAAGCTAACATTTAACAATTTAATTTTTAAAATCTTCATTTTACACAAAAGTAACAGATTAAAAAACCAGCTATTACTTATGAGGAACTGATTTTGTGCAGATTAAAACTCTGAACAAATATGTACCAAAATTTAATAGTGGTTACCTATGAAATTTGATTTTTGGTTCTGTTTCCTTTGCTATTATCTCCTTATCTGTACTTTCTAATTAGTCTATAATGAACATGTATTACTTGGATTAAAATGTGGGTAAGATTTGGGGACATAAGTTACACAAGGTTAAATGTCTCACACAAACCAATTCAATTTTCGTCTCCAGAAAGATAAAAAAAGGGGAAATCACCCATGAGCTGCATGGGTAGGAACTTGAAAATGGCTTTTGATTAATGTAATTCTCTCCCTTTTAACCTCTCAAATTCATGTCATTTCATAGCAGACAGAATACAACATCTGAGTTACACAAATGTAGTTTGAAAAGTAAACATATGAAAAGAAAACAGGCATTCTCAGGTTCATTTTTTAAAAATGTATTTCTTTTTTAACTGTAATTTTATAACAGACATAGGATGTTGTCAGTAGCTTTTTTTTTTTTTTTTAAAGATTCTATTTATTTATTTGAAGGAGAGCACGAGTTGGGGGAGAGGCAGAGAGAGAGGGAGAAGCAGACTTTCTGCTGAGCAGGGATCCTGATGTGGGGCTCCATCCCAGGACCTTGGGATCATGAGCTTAGCCAAAGGCAGATGTTTCACAACTGAGCCACAGAGGCACCCTACTAGCGTTCTTTACTAGCCTATTAAATTAAAAACAAATCTGAAATTGACTTGAACCAAAAATTTTTAAAAAACTAAGTCAAATTAGGTTTTACTTATAAAGTCTGCCTGAGATTTATAAAGGGGCAGAAAGAAATGAAAGACTAAGAGTCTTACTTGAGTAGGAACAAAAAGCGATTGGGGAGAATGGTTCAGGCCTCCCAAATGCCCAGATGAAATTGATGAATTTGAGCTATAGTGATTCACAGCTGGTTGTGGTTTCACAATGGCTGTCAACTTCTGATTTCCAGTTTCAGAGCGACTCCCATGAGTAAGATTTACCAAGGCACTTGTTGGCAGTCGATAACCTCTACCAGGGGAGCACCTAAAAAGTAAACAGTTATTTCAGAGGGAAATAATACTAAATAATACTAAAGGGAGCAGAAGAATCAAATTATTTTTAGGTGGACAATCAGTCCATAATCTCAATTAGTAAATATTACTTTTAAATTCAGTAGAGGAACCTGAAATCATAGAAAGATCTCCATTTATAAGATGATACATTTCTGAAACCAGAAAGGACTTTATTTAATCCTCATACATACTAGTGAAGTATGTATCTTCATTATAAATGAGGAAACTGAGGGTCAGAATGCTTTTAACTACCTACCCAAAGTAGCACAAAGGTTAAGTGACAGAACCCATCCCATGCATCTTTCATTCTATCATAATCCTTTTTCCTGTAACTTTAACTTTTCTATCAGTACTGCCCCCAAATAAGTAAATCTCACTCATATAAGTTAAAAACAAAAAAATCCAATCTTCTAGCTTTAAACCTGCTAACCTCCAGTTACCTTTTCTCTCCTTCATGGTCAAACTTCTCAAGGGTCAGCTCAATTTCCTGCTCCCTCAAACCACCCCAGTGTGGCTGTGCACCCACAATTCCACTAAAATATAAATCTGCAATCATGCCACACCTCTGATTTTGATGACTTCACATTGCTTTAAGGATAAAGACCAAGATACCAAAATCATTAGCATGTCCTCGAAGTTGGCTTAGGAGCTCCTACACAGTGTGGTCCTTGCTCTTTTCTCTTACTTTCATCTTACATAGTTGCTGAAGTTGCTGACACTTGCATTCTTTTTTTTTTTTTTTAATGAATAAATCCTTTGTTGCACATGCTATTTCCTCTTCTTGACCACTTGCCATTCTTCTTCCCTCTTCCTCTAGTTAACTATTACTCAATCTTCAAGTCCCATCTTAAATATCACTTGTCAAAGAAGGCTTTCTAGAAGTCATACTCTTATAGAAACTGGAACTTCTCCTTCCCAGCACTTCTCACAGTTTAATTAAATAATTAATATTATAATCAGTTACACAATTATCTCCCCCACTAAAATGAAAGCTTTGTGAGTCTAGAAAGCATGTCTGTCTTACTCACTGTTACATCCCTAGTAGCATGTATGCTGTCTTGCATATGACAGGAATTCAAATTGTGGACAAATAAACAAATAATGTAAAGTCACTGGCCAGGTGGACATACTTACAAAGTGTAATTATCATCAGGAAATACAAACCTTATTGTTAAGCCTCCAGGAAATTCTTCATCAAATAATACTTCAAATAGTACATCAGCTTCTCTATTAGCTGTTAAATAAGAGGAATTTAAAAATCATATGATGAAAAATCAGCATTTAAGTGTCTGGCTTGTAAGAAGGATTACACCTATAAGAAAATGGTGTAGGGGAATACAGTAAGTGAAAAGTAGATAAACTTGCAGATTACCTAAATGGTATTGAAGTAAAATAATATTTTAAATTAGATGTTGTGAGGGGGTTAATTTTATTTTTCTCTGTGGTTTTATCTATGTTGGAAATTATTCATAATGAAAGATTTAATAAAGGAGGTAACTTTGGGGGCGCCTGGGTGGCTCAGTGGGTTAAAGCCTCCACCTTCGGCTCAGGTCATGATCCCAGGGTCCTGGGATGGAGCCCTGCATCGGGCTCTCTGCTCAGCAGGGAGCCTGCTTCCTCTTCTCTCTCTGCCTGCTTCTCTGCCTACTTGTGACCTCCATCTGTCAAATAAATAAATAAATAAAATCTTAAAAAAATAAAAGAGGTAACTTTGGAGTCTGCAGTTCAGAAGGTCTTGCAGTAAGATAAAAGACAGTGATGATCTGAAAGCATGGCAGTTTATTTAATAAAGGGAATAGAATGGAGAGCACAGAAATATTATTAGATAGAATTGGCAGGAATTTGTGACCTGTGTAGATAAAAAGGATAGAGATGCCAAAGATGACTCCAAGGTTCTGTCTGAGAGGACTTGGTAGATTACAGATGCCATAACTGAGATATGAGACATGAGAAAGTGCAATAAACTTAGATAGGAACAGAGAAGAACATACTTGGCAGAGAGGCTGATGAGATATATCTGGCAAGAGTAAATTTACCCGAAACACCAAGATAAAATGAAATAATTAGCTATATTTGAATTCTAAGCCTAAATTAATAATAGATTTATTACATTACTTCAGAATTCACTGACCTTACCTCCTTCCCTCTCCCCTCTTCTCACTCCCCTTCCTCTTTTACACCTTCCCCTCCCCCCACCTCAATTTCTCTCCACCTTTCCCCTACCCTTTTTCTACTTTATTGGTTCTGTTTCTCTAGAGAACCCTAATACAATATTTGATAACATCCTAGCCTGGGATAGAAGTGGAGGGATGTCTGTTCCCCATCCCCAGTCCTGCCCAGCTGAAACCAGGCCTGCACAGCTCATCCATTCCCCAACATTCAGCTCTATCTTTCAACCTGACACTTTTGCCTGAAATCTAAGCTCCAGAAAGTAAGAAGAGGCTTAATGAGAGGCTGGAGTTTCTCCTCTGAAGGCTTAAAGCTCACCTTTTAGGTTCTTATTCCCTATCTGAAGGAGGGGTACTTCCTCAAGAGATTATTAAGATTATAAAAGGTAAGAGGATTGTTCACTCCCTTTAGTGAGTTGACTATGGAGAAGAGGTCTCAGATGAGGGCTGAGGGGAAATATTTCCCTTTTTTATCCATGGCAGACATGGTTAATCGGTGACAGAGCTCTATCCCACTTGCATATATACAGCTTTAAAAACCTCAAAACAAAATTCCAAGGAGTCACTATTACTGATAGGAATTGCCAGAAGAAAGGAAACTCCAATGTTATCAAAGTCCTAAGGCCTTATCAAGATAACTTAACTAGAACACAATCTAATAATATACTCTGTATTTGAACAGCTGATGCAGGGGGTTGAGCAGACAGCAGCAGGAGGGTTGTTTCATTATACCCATCTGGCCCTTACCATTCCTAGCCCAGACAATCAGACCAAAGTTGAGTGCTTGAGACATCAAAAGATAGTGCTGCCTTGGCACTGGATTTGCTGCTTCATGCTAGGCTGACTTTTTTGGAATCTACACTGCAAAGCTGCTCACAACAGACATCCCTTTAAGGAAAATTTAGATCCTCAGTTGCTTCTTCCCTTTTCCCTCCATTCTCTTTTTCTTTTTTTTTTTTAAATAAAAAATACATGACATAAAATTTACCATCTTATTTTTAAGTGTAGAGTACAATAGTGTTAACTATATGTACATTGTTGCTTTCTGCTTAGATATAAGACACAGAAATTTGTGTTTTACTTTACAATTACAGATGCAGTTGAAGACACACCAAGTATTGAGATATTACCCCCTTTAATTCCTATGATGGTGCCCCGAAGGCCAACTGGAACTGAAAAGTACTCTCTCACATTTACCACACGGTCAAAGAGACGAAATTCTGCATCTCGATCAGGAATGACTCCATGTTGCTGTTCTAAAGGCTGAAGAGAAGAAAGCTTTAATTATTATTAACTCTAATTTGAAATAATTTTTCTATTACTATAACAGAAATATTTTGTTCCTTCTATACTTTTGAAATACAGACTTTGAATTCTTTGATAGGAAACTTACTCTGTACAGCAAATGGGGCTTCACTGTCACTCGTACCTTCTTATTATTCTTTCTTTGCTGAAGAAAGAAAAATTTTTAGATATTTAAAAATATTAAATTATAAAATTACTGTCATATAGATTTACACTAAAAATATAAGATTATTATTATTCAGTTGGACATGATTATTATTCATTTTAATTTTTATTATTTATTTATTTACTTTAAAAAATATATTATTTATTTATTTGACAGAGAGAGAGAGATCACAAGTAGGCAGAGGCAGGCAGAGAAAGAGAGAGGGAAGCAGGCTCCCCACTGAGCGGAGAGCCTGGTGCGGGGCTCACTCCTAGGACCCTGAGACCATGACCTGAGCCGAAGGCAGAGGCTTAACCCACTGAGCCACCCAGGTGCTCCTATTCATTTTTAAAAGCCAAATGAAATGAGTATTTTAAAGAATATTTGAAGTTCTTCAGATGCAGCAGGGAGGGATAATAAATTCTTACTTAAAAATTTTTTTTAAAAAGATTTTATTTATTTATTTGAGATAGAGAGAGTGTGCACAAGCATTGGGGAGAAGGAGAGGGAGAAGAGGAAGACTCACTGCTGAGTGAGGAGCCTGACCCAGGGCTTGATCTCAAGACACCGAGATCATGACCTGAGCCCAAGGCAGATGCTTAAGCAACTGAGCCACCCAGGTGCCCCTTACAATTTTTAAAGGGAAATTTTTTTGACATTTATGGCATAGAAAAATAAAATAATATGCATAAAACTTGATGGATATTTATAGTATAAGCTTATCTATGTGTAACTATGCTGAGTTCAAGAAAGAGAACATTACTAAGCACAACATAAGAACTCTTGTATTCCTTCCCAGTTATTAATTTCCCCAAAGTAACCTTACTGCTAACAAAAGATTAGAGTTAGCTGTTTAGAACTTTATGGAAATGCTATCCTATTCAAATGCCTTTTTACTCTAAAAAGAATTGTATATGATGGTCAATGAAGATCTGTATTAAAAGAAAAAAAAAAGTATAAAGTACTGATCTATGACAATACTAGGGTTTTATGGCTACTTAAAAAAATTAAGGTGGCATTGATTTAACAAAGCCCTTGCTTTTGGAATCTATTATGAAATTGGCTTTGATATTTGAATTTTTTGATCATCTAACAAATGATCAGAAGAAGAGTTCTGTCCCATCTTTACTCCCTGTTAATTTTGTGAACTCACATTCAACTTAAGCATCAGCCTCCTTCTACTGTAAAACAGAAATAACGTTACCTGTTCTACCAATAAAACCATGAGGACAGTTTATATCCATTGCAATCCATAACTACCATTCACATTAAATATTTTTTAAGTGAAGTCTTACCAACTAAGAAAAATGGCAACAGTTTAATTAATTTGCAGCCACCCATCTTTAGAACACACCTTATGGAAATAAGTACAAGAGAGCATAAAACAACTCCAAGCTATAGAGACCATATACCATAGAGTTCATGTATTTATATACTGTAAAATGCTCAAGTCTTTAAACAGACCCTATTATCTTTTATTATAAAGGTATTTCATTTATTCTTTCAACAAATCTTTACTGAGTTCCATTTATGTGCCATGTAGTGATCTAGGTGCTAAGCATAAAACAATGACTTGTTCCTTTGCTCTACTTAGGGAGACATACATACAAGCAACAAATGTTTGACGGTAAAAAGCAGAGAAAAATAAAGCAGGTAAGGGGGGATCAGCACTGTGGAGAGAGATCGTAATTTTGAATAAAATGAATAGTGAAGGCAGTACTGACAGAATGTCTATGCTTGGGGCGCCTGGGTGGCTCAGTGGGTTAAAGCCTCTGCCTTCAGCTCAGGTCATGATCTCAAGGTCCTGGGATCGAGCCCTGCATCGGGCTCTCTGCTCAGCTGGGAGCCTGCTTCCTCCTCTCTCTCTGCTTGCTTCTCTGCCTACTTGTGATCTCTGTCAAATAAATAAAATCTTTAAAAAAAAAAAAAAAGAATGTCTACACTTTCAGCCCACAGCAGACTAGGACTAATAGGGTACAATTGGTGCCCCCTGAAAACAGCAAGAAGGAGAAAAAAGAAGTATTTTAAGTAATTTTAAAAAGCAGTCCCCAAACTTGCGCCTGGAGTACTGTATATGAAAATAACAACCTATATGCTTGAATATATCTCCAGGCATTACTATATTATAGCACTGATTAGAGGACATGGCAATCAAGCCTGATTCACTAAGCAAATTAATAAACTTAGGAATTTTCACAATAAGCCCTAACCCACATATACGAAATGAAAATTTCTGGGGTCTGGCTATTCAAAATGTGATCTGGGAGCTTGTTAGAAATGGAGAATCTCAAATAAAGTTTAGGGGCTTAGAGTAATAAACCTTTATTAAGTGAGAGACTCATTTCAAAAACAATGCTGTACAAACGGATTTTAGTCTAGATTGAAAGACAAAAAGAAATGCAGGTTAAAAATGAAATGCAGGTTTCTATCGTTATCTGAGTATCTATCAAAAGATAGTGATAGTGATTGATAGATCTATCAAAAAATCAAACTCTTGGCTCTAAGAGTTTTTTCCTAAAGAGAACAAGAATCATCCAGTAGTAATTTTTCAGACTGTCTTCACAGCTCTTGAATATGTGATAAGAGAATTAAAATAATAATAGCCAAGCATTGTTAGGCATTAAAAACAGACATTATTAGAAGGAGTTTACATGATTTAACTTAGTTAATCCTTTTGATGACCCTGTGAAATAGTACTATTTGACTCTCATTTTATTAATGAGACAATAGAGGCATGGAAAATAAATATCTAAAGTATCTGGCCTAACGTTAAAAGTATTGAAAGAGAAATGGGGGAAAATGGCTTCAGAGCCCATTTCTTAACATAGTTTGCTGTTAGACTGCTGTGTTACCAAAGCAACATCATTTTAATAAAAAGGCAAATGTGTGGAAAAAAAAATTAAAAGTTAAAAAAAGGAATATAATCAATCCATTTTCCATTACATCAAGACAGAGATCAAAATAAATAAAATAGTTAAGCCTACACAGAAGATTATGGGTTTTTAAAATCAAGATATAAGGGCGCCATGGGTGGCTCAGTTGTTAAGCCTCTGCTTTCAGCTCAAGTCATAATCCCAGCATCCTGGGATCCAGCCCCAGGGTCATCTCTCTGCTCAGCAGGGAGCCTGCTTCTCCCTCTCCAGGTCCCCTGTGCTTGTGTTGCCTCTCTTGCTATCTCTCTCTGTCATAAATAAGTAAAATCTTAAAAAAAAACCCAAAACCCCAAGACATAAAAAAATAGGAAAGATTAAATAGGATTTCAAAAATACTGAATATGTTTAGAAGTGATTCTGTAAAAGTGAATTAAACACAATGTTTATGTTCTATAAAAAGAACTATGTCTTTAAAGAACTTAGAATAGGAAGGAATAGGGGACGTACTTTATTTCTTAATCACAAACTTTGTATTTTGGCTAGAATTACAGAATATTGATTCCTAAAATTAGAAACACCATTAGAACATAAAATTTAAATGTTATAGCTTTTATATATATTAAAGTGCATTTTTAAAAATTCATATAAACTTATTAATGGCCACTGGAAGTGGCTGGAACATTTTTTTAAACTATAGGATTACCTGACATAAATTAGAATCATTGAGTTCACATTTTATTTGGTTGAAACAAAAATAATCTGTCAAATTATATACAATCCATTTAACTTCAAATCTCATCAGTCATCTTGGTTATTGAAAATTAGTACCTTGCACTTTTCGACTTCTTCCTCAATTTTCTCAACAATAGCGGCATCCAGAATTTGTAAATCACAGGAAGAACGAGACAAAGTACTGACAGGATGTCCCTTTAGCCAAGTAATAATTTCTTGAACTTTCTCAGCACTACATTAAAAAAAATATTTTTTTCACAATAATTAAAACTTTCTGAGGGTTAATACAAAAGGTCTAATAAATTTCTGAGGGTTGTGAATTATAAAAGATATCAAATACATAATTAATAATTAATCACTAAACTTAATTGGGACTAATTATAAATCTCTCAGTAATTAAAAAAACCCCACAAAATTAGTTTAAAAGTACTTTACTGATATAAGTGAAATAAATTATATTACGATCTTAAAGCAAATATATAAAACCCTCCCCACAAAATTAGTATAAATTCTTGATAAACTAGCTATTGTACCCTTCACTAGAACTACTAAGCTGAACTATGAGCCAATAAATACCACAAATTTTGCTTACCCATTCTCATTTTCTCCAGGCCAAATGTCATCTTCATAGAATACATCCTCCTGGCTGTTTTTGGCTATATAACTAAACAGTTCTGGAGCCCTAGACAAACAAATAAAAATACTGCTTAGAAAATATATATGGCTAACTTCACATAAACTTCCTATCAAATAATTTTGGATTCCAAGGGAATCCTCAGTATTGAGGATTGATTATTACACACAGAGTATTAATAAGGGATAGAGCCTAATGATTTGAAAGTATTCGCAGGCCCTCAAAGAACTCTCAGTAGCTAAGGAAGAAGTGATTCAATTCATAAACTGTAATAAACTTCAATTACTTATAAATTTCAATTACTGACTCTAACTGCTCTCAGATCATAATGATAGGTGATAAATGACAAAAATAATATCTACACATTCCTTTTCTAATTTTCACAACAAAGCTGTGTACAAGAAAGGCAATGCAACCACAATAATCTACAAGGTCCACCTGTGACCATTTATATTATCTCAATCAAGTAAACTTTAAATCAAGATTTAATAACTAAATTAACCTAAAAGTTTCTTCTGATACACCTAAAAATGCCATTGCTTCCTAAATAGTGCAGGACTTTTAAATACACATAGCAGATTGAACTTATGTGCTTAATATTTGCTCACTTCCCAACCTACTAAAAAAAGAGTAAAGTATAAAATAGGGCATAGACCCAGAAAGGCATGAAAAGAGAAACGTTAAGTCTGAGAGCACATATGAATTGTTAACAAAATTTTAGAAACTGGAAACTATATGGGTAAGTATTAACTGGTTTGAAAGACAGGAAAAAGCTACACCCTAAGCAACCAGGGTAGAAAGTCAACAACAAGCAAGATGATTTAAACTGTGCATGTCTGCAAAAGCTCTGGAATTAGGGCTTCAGGTACATTTTAATGTTGTAGTATGGGCAGGGTGAAGTTTACTAGGCTTTTAGTTGAAAATTTTGTATAATAGCAGTTGGTTGATCATGTGCTTACTTACCTTTACCCCAGCACAAGACCTGTCTGTAGTTTATCTTTTGGAGAGGTTGAATACAGGATGCTCTAGCTTTAGGAATACAAGGCACAGGGAGATGTGTGGGTAGGACATAAAGAGATGATAGGGAATTGACGAAACTGTAACTACTACATAATGTGTTGCTAGAAAGCAGGCTAGGAAGTGTAACTTCTTTAGGAAGCACACTCTTGAGATGAAAATAAGCAAGAAGGAAGTTTATCAGAGGGCTTTGTGGAATCAACACATGTAGAAGGGAAGGAAAAAGGGAAGGAAGCAGAACTGGGCCGAGGGAAAAGCTGGGCTGTCATCCACTATTAATGAACTCCTTGGTCAGTTCTACAGAGATCTCAAAATAGGATGGTCCTTCAGAATTATCCTGAACTAGGGCAATCAGGTCTGCTGGGTCTTACACACCTCCTTGTAGATCAGGTGTTGGATCTATGGCTGTTGTGGGATGGGGACATAACTTTAGGTGAGGCAGTTCTCTTCTGTAAGGCAATTCCTGAAGAGAGCTCATAGCTGAGGGCTGTCTGACAACAGCATTCTAGCTGCCATAGAAATAAGTCCTTTAAAGGGAGGTTTGGAGGGATTTCATAGTATCCATTCCATAATAAGATCCCTTTTTCCCAGTTAATAACCAAAACACTGGAAGTCAGTTTTGTTCCTCACATCTGTTCTCCAAGGAAAAAGCTGGAGGAGCCAGCCTGAGAGAAAATATACACACATAAGTAGTGATATTTGGAGGGCCTCTGTGAAAATAGCAAAGTCCCAACTGACAAGCCCCACCAAAGCACACTAAATTTCCAATCTGCTTTTTAGTGCCTCATTCTTAAATATAATTAGACATCAAAGAAGCACCAGACAAGTTAAAAAAAAAATCTTTAATATGAAAGGTGCAATCAAATCAAACAGAAAAAAAAAAAGAGCAATTTGGAGAAAATAGAAAATACAGAGAAGACAAGAAAAATGAGAAATATCATCTTAAGAGAAAAAGACACTATAGAAAACGAATGTCAGAGGATAAGGACACACTTTGAGAAATTAAAAATGATTAAATCAAATAAAAATACAAATGATAGGAGATAAAGTTGAAGAAATCTCCCACAGAGTAGAACAGAAGTATAACAATATAGAAAATGGGTGAGAAGAGATAAGAAAATTAAGAGGATTAATCCAGAGGTCTATCATCTAACAGAAGTCTCAGAAAGAACAGAAAAAAAGAGAGGAGGAAATTATCAAAGAAATAATATAAGGAATTATCTCATAATGGAAGGGCATCAGTTTTAAGTGTGAAATGACTCAACAGCCAAAGGAAAGAATACTCATACCAAGGCACACATCATCACATTATTAAAACAGCACTGGTAAAGGGAAGATTCTGAGAAGATTTCTGAAAATGAAAACAGAACACACATAAAGGTTCAGAATCACAATGGCATAGGACTTCTTACCAGCAAAGGAAACAAAAAGAGAAGAGAGTAGTACTTCTCAAATTCTGAGGAAAAACTTCTCTAATCTAGGATTTTACACCCAGGCCAGCTATCAATCAAGTCTAGTCAGGGAAAAATAAAGACATTTCCAGACACACAAGCTCTCTTAGGAAACTGTTGGAGTAAGTGCTCCATCAAACTGGAGACATAAAACAGAAAAAGGTATGAAAGCCAGGAAATAAAGGAATCCTGTAAGGCAGAATGGTGAAGGGAATTCCTAGGATAACAGTAGAGAGAAACCCTAGAATGACAGCTGTGTGATAGCTCTAGAAAATAATTAGTTTACATCGAAGCAGGAAGATAGAAGGTTTCAAGGAGGAAGTCTATACGAAAAAACGGAACTGAGAGATCTCCTGATCTGTTTGACCATACAAAGTCTTCCAGCTATGACAAAGAGTTTAGGGTTGAATTAGTTATGTGAATATAGACAATAAGCAAATGATAAAAAAGATGGGGAAAACAAAAATGTGTACCAGAAAGGACATGCAACCATATTAATCTACAAGGTCCACCTGTGACCATTTACATTATCTCAATCAAATAAACCTTAAATACAGATTTAATACAACTATAATGAAAGGGGTAATACACACACACACACACACACACACGCACACGTGCAGGAAGGTGAGGAAATAGAAAGGGAAGGTAGTAGAAGAGAGCTAAAGCTTCATCTTTCAATGTACAAAATCAATGCATATGTCAAGTTGAAAAATCATGAAAAGGTAGGGTAAATACAACATTTTAAAGAAATATGGAAGTGAAAAAAAAAAAGAAATATGGAAGTGAAGAAATAAATTTTCAGATGATAACACAAGATTGAGTCATGTTCCTTCCCCAAAAAGACAGATTGAAGTCCCACTCCTACTACCTTCAGAATGTGACTTTATTTGAAAATAAGGGTTTTTTTGAGATTATAAAATAAAAATGAGGCCTTTAGGGTGGGCCTAATCTAACATGGCTGTGTCTTTATGAAAAGAGGAAATCTGGGACACCAAAACAGGCATTAACAGAGGAAAAGATAATGTGAAGACGTACAGGGACAACACATGTGAAGATGGAGGCCTGGAGTTAAGAACAAATGTGTGAGGCTACAAGAAGCTAGCAAAGAGGCATGGAATGGTTCCTTTCCTACCATCTTCAGAGGAAGCATGGTCCTACCAAACACCTTTGTTTTGGACTTCTGGTCTCCAGAATTGTGAGACAATGAATTTCTGTTGTTTTAAGCCATCCAGTTTGTGCTACTTTGTTATGGCAGCCCTAGTAAACTAAGATGATCCTCAAATACAGGGTTAGAAACCAGTAGAACAAAGGAATGAACATTCAATTATGAATGAGAAGTAAACGTTTCCCTATAAATCTTTGTCACTGAGTAACTCAGTTAATCTCAGTACACAGTTTTCTCATTTTTAAATGAGGAGCTGAGATTTATTGATTTCTTAGATCATTTCAGCATAAGATTCAATAATTTTAGGACAGTAATCTATTATCTGGTTGGAGTTTTAAGACTCAGAAAATCCACTGTGTGAAGAGTTGCTTTGTTTTTCCATACCAATTCTCTTACTACTAACACAGACATGCAAAGTACTGAATAATTTATGATAGCGAGTTAAGGAAAATTTTCAGTAAAAGGAGGCTAAAGGGCACCTGAGTGTCTTAGTTGGTGGAGAGCGCAACTCTGGATCTCAGGGTTGTAGGTTTGAGCCCCACGTTAGGTATAGAGATTACTTAAAACAAAACAAAAATTTTAAAAAATTTAAAAATTAAAAAAAATAAAAGGCCAATTCTCATCATCCTTTTTCATTTTTAATAATATACAGTATTTTTCTATTTTCTTTTTGTGAATAGCTATGATGCTCCATGATACAAAATTAAGTTTTTATGTAATACATCACATTTTACCAAAGGAAACATTTTTTGGTCTAAAATTGGTATCAGCAAAGTAAAATAGTTACTACATTCCCACATTTTTGGATGCTTAGTAGGATCTTATTAGGCACTTACCTCTCTAAGTACTCTGCGAGAAGTTGTTCTGCTGCAGATGAATACATCCACTCACTTCCAACTTTCTTAGTATAGCCAGGTACCTCCTCATTTTTTTTGTTGAATTTGAGATTCAAACCCACATTTGCTTTATGGTCTCCATGAGGGCTGAATTTAAATCACACACACACACACACACACACACACACACACGTTTTAAAATTTTGTTCAAAGAATACAAAGTTTTGCTTTCAATTCTTAGAAAAACTTAATTTTGATTGTTCTTCTATAGTTTTCATGGTTATTTCCAAAGTAGCAGTTATTGAAAGACTAGAGGAAAGGCTTTAAAACCCAAGTTAACAAATCATATAAATAGATTATATAACTAGAGAAGAGAATGAGATAAGAAAATGCAGGGAAATATATTATTGAGATTCACACACACCTTCTGATACCTTTTTTCAAGGTTCAATTTGTTAGCTGCTAAAAATAAGAACTGTCTTTCCAAACACCTAAAACATGTGCCATTTAGATGAAATTCACCATCAGAGGAATTTATGCATAATTTTTAAAGAAAATTCAGAGCAATTAATAAAAGAAAATAAATACTAAAGTATTAACCAGTTTATCTTTATCATTTAATTTTTTCTGCCACTTTAAGTAAATTTCTCTAACATAAACTTACTTTCTCCTAGATCCTCTTCCAATAAAAATACTTCCTGTAAACCTTGAAACAAGGTATCCACTCACTCCAAGGCGACTGGCCAACACATATCCTGGGTTGTACTTTATAGAATATTTCTTCAAATATAAAAACAAAAAGGTCAATTATGGAAACACAAAGCATCAAATGTTATTTCTTTACCTTTAAAATCTGGAGATAATCAAGACATCACTAACCATTGGAATGTGGCAATATAAGGATTCTCAAAAGTAAGTGATCCATTTCCCTTTTTATTTTTTTGAAAGGATCTGTAGGCAGAATTTTTCTGCTCCTCTCTCTCCTTAAAGGACAGAATTCCCAAGGATGGATGAAAGGGGGAGGAAATATACAATTTGTGAAACTGTCTCAAGAAATAAAGTCTACTCTAAGTCTAAATGGCGAACTCTGCAGACAAGAGCTATTTTTTAAACATTAATTTTCATATTCCAAGTAGGGACTAGTAAAGCACTGGGACATAATGAGGCCTTGATAATTATTAACATTGAACTAAAACATGAGTATGTCATCAAAACAGTTGCTACTGAGCACAATTAAAAATGTTCTTCATTATATTTACTATGATATGAAAGTAAGAAGTATATATAGGCTTATAGTTAATACAAAGAAATATAACCTAAATTTATGTACATAAGGGAAGAAACTAAGATTAAAAAAAGGTATCAGATCATATAATTTTTAAATTAATCAGGAAACAAATTACAAATCCAGTACCAAAAAAGGTAAGCTACCATATAATCTTGACATAATATACATAATAATAACACATACTTATTTTATATGGATTTCCTGTACTATATTCATATGAATGTGTATAAATATAATAAACACTTATGAATTTAATGCATATTTTATGTCTACAATAACCCCCAAACAGATAAATTTTTTTTGGTGCATGGAATATATAAATTCATTATTAAAATATGTTAATATCCTGGGTAAAGAATGCAATACAGTTTTTCCATCAAGAGCATTATTAGGATTAGAAATAATATAGACAATTCAAATACACTTTCCAGAACAGATAGGAGGACTTAAGGTAGTAGTTCTCTTATCATAGGTAGTATTACTTATTTTTCTAATAAGCATCTGGAAATGTATAGGGCCACATCATTCAGTTACTGGCATGGGCCACTACCTCTTAGTCTCCAGGGGACAAAGATGCCAACTACACTATCATATACTGGACAGTCCTATTTTATACAGGAATTGTCCTATCCAAAATACCAATGGTATTGTTGAGAAATATTTAATTATGATATAATTAAAATTGATGAAGATCATCACAAATATTCTAGAAAATGTAAAATAAAAAGCAGAGAACATTGGGGTAGAGAAAAAAGATGAGTAAAAATTAATAAGGTATGTAAAGAAAAAAAGCATAGAGGAGAAGGCATGCCTAGCAACACTGTACTTCAAAGGTGGGCAGGCTCTTTCAGATCTAGAAAAAGCTAGGGATAAAGGAACATAAATAATTTTTTCCCTCCACTGACTCCCAGAACAGAGAGCTCCAGCATCTTTATCAAGCAGGACACACTCTACTGGTTTCCTGACTGTGCTTTCTGAATCCTTTCTCCAAAAGATGCCTGATGGTAAGAATTTGGAGACTTTTCTGCCTTCCATGAAGTTTCTTCAAGTATATGCTGATGTTCAATGCCCTCAGTTCATTTACAGGATAAAAAGCTTTAGAATTTACTATTAGAGAAATAAAAGTGTAAGTATCAATAGCTGGCTGATTGTGAATTAATTTCAGCTGAAGTAATTATCTAATCAATCAGTAAGAATATACAACAGATATCAGAATCCTCCTCCTATTGAAACAGGGAAAAATAAAAGGAGGCCAGTGAACATCTTTGGAGGAAAAAGGTCCTAAAAAAGGATGCTGTGAATTTAAATGCAGTTTCCCATTTTTTTCTAGTGATTGTTCATCTTTAGCTTCTATTGCAAAAAGGCCACTACTTGTAACTAAAAACGTAGGCTTTGATTATGAAAAGTTTATTTAAATAAAAAAATCTAAGCCTATTCCCAGAGGGTAGGCTAAGACACGTGCCCCTTCTTGAGCTTGAACATGAACCCATAAAAACTGTTACAGATTAATAATGAGATTTCAGTGATATTTTTCCCCCTGAACATTTGCATGAAGTTTAAAAACAGATTCCCCACACTCATTTTTAAGTTCTAGACATAACTGTGAGAGAATTTAATCAGTACTAAATAAAGTATTTATAATATTTCAGAGGAGGTGGTAAAAATATGCTTCTAACACTTAGAAAAGTTAATCAGTTCTAAATTAAGCAATATGGACTATGGTACTCACATGCTGGTTCTGTATTAAAGCATCAAGATTGGGTTCACATGGAATGCTGAAAATCACACGAATCCTACCTTCTGTAATCACATCCCCTGAATCCTGAACCTTGGAGGGAAAAAGAAAATCAAAATGTTTTAGTCTCTTTCACCACATTTTATTTACTTTTCTACTTATTTGAACAATGTTTATTTCTGAAATACAGCAAGACAGTAAAGTTGGATACTGGAGATTCTCTTAGAATTCATAAATGAATGTGATTATATTATAAATTTGAGCCAATACACATTGCTTTAATAGCTGTTAGCCAGTTTTTTTCCTTTAAACTAACTTTTTATTTGCAAATAACTTTAAATTATCAAAAAGCTGCAAACATAAAAACAAGTCAAAGATCACTTATAAAACATTTACCTAGATATTAACATTTTACTCAATCTGCTTTAACATTTGTACTCTATGCATATACATAATTATTTTTTTTAAACTTTTTGAGGGTATATTACATATATCATGTCCTTTACCCTTTAATATTTTGGTGCATACAGCCTAAGAAGAAGGATATTTTACTATATAACCACAGTACAGTTACTAAATACACTCATTTACATTGATAAAATAGTTCAATCAGGTCCATATTCCAGTTTTGTCGCGGATGGTCCCAGATTTTTCCTATATTATAATAAAGAAAACCCTTTTCTCCCTCTACTACAGAATTCAGGCTAGGATCAGACATTACATTTAGTTATCATACCCCCTAGCCAACTTAAATCTAGACTATATCCAAAGTCTTTGTCTTTTATAACATTGACATTTTTGAAGAATAAGGTCATTCTTCCCTCTTCATCCTGCCTTTAAAAACAAAAGTGCCTCATTTTGGATTTGTCTGATGCTTCCTTACGATTAAGTTAAACTCATATATTCTCAGCTAGAATAGTGCATGGGTGATGTGTCCTTTTTAATACCTTGGTATCACATACGGAGGTGCATGATATTGCTCAATTTCTTCACTGTCCAATTAGGTTTTTTTTCTCTTATAACTAATTAATGGTCTATGGGAAGACATTTCTAAGGCCATGAAAATAGCCTACTCAGATAAAAAACTCCCCCTAGATTTAGTTTCCAATGGAGATTGTTACTTGATTCAATCTTTATTGTAATGCTTATAAAATGGTTTTCCAACTCTAGCACACTCTCCATTTACCTTTGACATGATACTATAAACAAGGGCCCTTCTGTTCCCTATTTACTTATCATCACTGTGGAATCATTAATTCCTATCCCCCCCCCCCCCGCCCAATGGTTTATAATCCACTAGTGTACTTTATTATTTTGGTACTCAAACTATCCCAGATTTGGGCAGTTTGGTAGGAGCGCCTTTGACCCGGTTTCTGTGTTTATGTGATATGGTCCCATCACTCTTTTGAGCACTTCCTTATTTTCTGGCCTAACCGGTGGTTCTAGAAAATGTAAAGTAAAAAGCTTATCTTTTACCTACCCTGCCCCAGCCTAATAATGGGCTATTTCTTTGAAAAGCTTTCAGTGGGGTGTATTATTAGAGGTCAAACCTGGAGATTATATGTATTCATTGTTACTAGATTATCTTTGTTTCTTAACCTTTTGAGCAAATACAGCTAGAAAATACATGTATGTACAGGCATATATGCATTCACACACATACAAATATACATATATATCTATATACATGTGCCCATATACATATGTGTAAATACACGTACATATTTTTAAAATCATAAATTCACATTAATACCTTCAATTCTAATCTGTCCCCACAGATTCTTCTTTGCATTCTTCCATTTCATATTTACATGTATCTTTTTCCATGAGAACTGGAGTTCCTCAAACATCAACACATTTACAAGTTCATCAACCCAATACAACTAAAATAATTTCATAACTGATTCATCCACTACCATAATGAATAAACCTGCTAAATAAGAGATTAAGATTTGAATTCTTTCTCCTCTGCCTCTTAACCCCAACCTGCTCAAGATTAAAGACATATAGTCAAATACTGTGTTCATAAGTTAGACATATGAATTTTTCCCCTTTAGTATTACATTTTATTTTATACCTAAATGAAGAGAAGTTAAATAACTATCACTTAGAACTAGAAAGAAATTTAATTAGTAACAATAACAGGAACTAACTTCTCCAGTGCAGCCATAATAGGGGGTTCCCAGCATAAAGACCGTACTTCTAGGAGGAAACAAGTCATCCAATGTTTTGATATTGGAGAAACGGGAGTCAAAAGCTCGGATGTCCTATACAGAATGAAATATAAAAGTAAATTATCACAGTCAAAAGTCCTATGGATTGGACATCAAATTTTTCTTCCTATGGGGTTATTACTATGATGTCTGCAAATGCAAAATGTAGATTTTCTACATAACAATACTGGCAGCTAAAATGTATTGACTTTACATGCCATTTTTCTAGGTATTTCGTACATTAGTTAATTTCATCCTCAAGACAACCCTGTATAGCACAGATCATTATTAGCCTCACTTTACACATGGGGAAACTAAGGCACCAAAAGGGGGTGAAATGTCACCCAAGATCATACAGCTAAAAAGTCAACTCAGGCAGTCTGCGCTCTTAATCCTACACTATACTGTTTCTCAAAATTACAGGATTAGTACATGCTTTAAAAAAATTTTGTCTCAGGCGCCTGGGTGGCTCAGTTGTTAAGCAACTGCCTTCAGCTCAGGTCATGATCCCAGTGTCCTGGAATCGAGTCCCACATCCAGCTCCCTGCTTGGCAGGAAGCCTGCTTCTCCCTCTCCCAGTCTTCCCACTTGTCTTCCCTCTCTCACTGTGTCTCTCTCTGTCTAATAAATAAATAAATATTAAAAAAAATTTTTTTGTCTTGTTATCACACCCAAAATTACCAATACAAAAGCAAATACTTTTATTTATTTATTTACTAATTTATTTCAGGCATTTTTTGGAGAATAAAAATCTAAAACTGTAGGCTGTTAAGCTAATGCTAGGCTTTTTCATTAGAGATTAAGTTTAAAAAATAAATAAGTAAAAAAGACAAGTTTCCTAATCATACACAGAGTGAGCATATAACAACCCTTTCAAAGACTACAGTTTTTGTGGTGGTTCAAGACGGTTCAAGATGGCAGCACAGGAAGATCCTGAATGCCTCTCCTCCCATGGACACACCAAATCTTCAGCTACATATGGAACAATTAGTTCCCTCTTAAAGAGACCTAAAAACTAGTTGAGCAGCAACTCCACAACAAAAGATTAAAAGGTACAGATTGATTTGGGTAGGAGAGGCAGACATACTATCGCCAAAAACCCCACCCCTGATGTGGAGACCCACAATCAGGAGAGATCTCCTTCTTGAGGAGCAAGGGGTATGTGTTCCGTATCAGGCACCCCAACCCTTGGAAACTGCACTGGCGAGACAGGCTGCCAAAAAATCTGGCTTTGAAAACAAATGGGGCTTATGTCTAGGAGACCCAAAAGGCTGCAGGGAATGGAGATTCTGCTTTTAAAGGGCTTGTGTGCAGACTTACTAGCCCTGAGATCCAGGGTAAAAGCAGTGGTTTGAAAGTGCCTAGACCATATGGGGAAAACATTAATTTGCTAATTGTAAAGTTTCTGTCAGAGGGACAGGGGACTGTTGGGACTTTCTCTGGACACAGAAGTGCTGGCAGGTGCCATTTTTTGTGTTCTTCCTTTACTTTGCTAGCATTGGCAAGTGTGCTCTACTAAAGCTGGCAGGCATATCCTACCCCCATGTATATATGGGGGTCTCTCTCTCTCCCTCTACATAGACACACAGACACACACACACACACACACACACACACACACACACACACACGGTTATTACTCAGTCATAAAAAATAATGAAGATCTTGCCATTTGCAACATGGATGGACATGAGGGTATTATGCTAATGAAGAGAGAGAAAAACAAATACATGACTTCAGTTAATATGCAATTTAAAAAAACAAAACAAACAAATAAAACACAACACAACTAACAGATACAGAGAAATGACTGGTGGCTGCCAGACAGAAGGGGTTTGGGGAGATGGATAAAATGCATGAAGGGGCTTAAGGGGTACTAGTTATACTAGTACTAGTTACACTAATATTTAAGGGGTATTAGTTACACAATAAATAAATCATGGGGATGTAACGTATAGCATGGCGACTTTAGTCAGTAATAATGTACTGCGTATTTGAAAGCTGTAAAACAGTAAATCTTCAAAGTTCTCATCATAAGAAAAAAATTCTGTAACTTTGTATGGTGATAGATGGTAATAAGACTTATATTGGTGATCATTTGGCAGTGTATACAAATACTGAATCATTTTGTACACTTTGAAACCAAATAGTCAATTATACATAAATACAGTTTTTTCAAATGATATTAAATCATAATCTCCATAATGCATTGCTGCATTAGTTTTCTATTTATAAATAAATATTAAATACGATATAGTTTTTTTCTTTATACAGTGGGAGTAGTGCACATTTAGATACAATTGAGATTTGATGGAGACTTACCTTTACAATAGTTTGATAAACAAAAGGAAGAACTTGTTTCGACCATTGTTTCTCTAGACGGACTTCGCCATTTTGATTTATTTGATATTTACGACCTGTGAGTAACTGAGCATATACAACTGCGGATGTTTCATTTATTATTATTCCTTTTCTTCTTAGGTAGCTAAAAGAAAGAATAAAAAAGAAACGTAGATATGTATGAGTATGTTGAGTATGTATATATTCTAGGGTGATAATCAAACTTCCAACTCATAATCAAATGTTTAAATAAAATTTAAATAAATATGCTAGCAGTTCTGAGTACCTAACTTAAGGTTTTTTTGCACTAGTTTTTTACTCTATGGATACTTCTCCCAATGTCTGTGTGATTAAAGGAGAACTTGTTTAAGAAATTCTTGTGTGTCATAATCACTAGGATGGGGATAACAAAAAAAAGTGAAAATACCAAGTATTGGAAAAGATGTGGAGAAATTGAAACACTTGTACATTGTTGGTGGGAATGCAAAAATGGTACACTCACTGTGAAAAACCATTTAGCAGTTCTTCAAAAAGTCTACAAATTCCACTTCTAGGTATATACCCAAAAACTGGAAAGGTACTCAAACAAATATTTATAAATGAATGTGCATAGCAGCATTACTCACAATAGCAAAAAGGCAGAAAGAACTCAAAAGTCCTCCAATAGATGGATGAATAAACAAAAGGCAGTATATCCATAAAATAAAATATTTGGCCATTGAAAGAAAGAAGTACTGATATATGTTACAATGTATATGAACCTAAAAATATGTTAAAATGTAAGAAGTTAAACACAAAAGGCCATATATTATATAGGATTCCATTTCTGCAAAACATACAGAATAGGTGAATCCAGAAAGACAAAAAGAGGTTAACAGGGGCATTCAGTAGTCCTTTTCTTTCTTTCTTTTTTTTTTTTTAAGATTTTATTTATTTATTTGACAGACAGAGATCACAAGCAGGCAGAGAGGCAGGAGGAAGCAGGCTCCCTACTGAGCAGAGAGCCTGATGTGGGGCTCGATCCCAGGACCCTGGGATCATGACCTGAGCCAAAGGCAGAGGCTTTAATCCACTGAGCTACCCAGGTGCCCCCAGAGGGCCTTTTCAATCTCAAGTATAGGTCAGCAAACTACGGTCATGAGACAAATCTAGACTGACTCCAGTTCTTGTAAATAAAATTTTACTGAAACACAGTCATCAATTTATTTGCTGTCTATGATGGCTTTTGTGTTCCAATAGCATAGTTGAGTAGTTGTGACAAACACTGTAAAGTCTACGAAGCCCAAGATATCTACTATCTGGCCTTTACAGAAAAAATTTGCTGACCTCTGATCTAAAGATAAAATTATTCTTCATCCAAGGATATTTTCCTATCTCCTTTCCATTTGCTCTTCCTAGAACTCCTATTTGAGAAATATTAGAAATTCTGACTATACTCTTTTCATCTCTTCATGCTTTTGTACTGTGTGCTGAGGGAATGAATCCCTCAGCTTCATCTTCTAGCTGATTGAATTTTCTTTTTTTTTTTTTTCAACTAAGCCACTCAGTAACCCCTCACTGACTGAATTTTCAGTATCCCTATATTACTATTCAGACCATCTGCTCAGCTCATTATATCATAATTTAAATTTTTGTATTTGTGTTTTATATAAATAAATTTATTATATAATATATACTATAGATATATAGAGTATACAGATGAATGACATTATTATATATAACACACATGTATATATTTTTTTCCATAGCAGCTGATAGATATATGTTGTTGTTCTCAATGGTAGCCTTGGTCTGAAATAAGTCACGCCATCTTAAAAAAAAGAAACAGAAGTCTTCCAACAAATTTTTGAAATGGAGCATTCTGCTTTTTCTTTCTTTCTTTTTTTTTTTTTTTTAAGATTTATTTATTTGTTAAAGAAAGAGAGAGAGCACAAGCAGGTGGAGTGGCAAGCAGAGGGAGAAACAGTCTCCTTACTGAGCTAGGAGCCTGATGTGGGACTCAATCCCAGGACTCTGGGATCATGACCTAGGCCAAAGGCAGACGCTTAACTGAGCCACCCAGGTGTCCTCTGCTACCATTTTCTAAAAATCCAGTGGGAAAACCTACTAATTTTACTCAAAATTTATTTAGCCAGTAATCTTGCTATCAATATGACAAGGATATCCCAAGAAAGGAAAATTATTTGCTAATCTTTCTCTATAAAAATAAAATAATATAAAAATAAAAGCACAAATTCTAAACAAAATGTAACAAATCTAATCCAATTACATATAAAAAGGAAAATATGTCATGGTCTAATAGGATTTACTCCAGGAATTCAGGGATAGATTTATATTTGAAATTCAATCAACGTAATTCACCAGATTAAAAGAAAAGTCATATGGTCGTTTTGACAGATGTAGGAAAAAAACCTGACAAAATCAGTACTAATTAATGATAAAAACTCTCAACCAACTAGGAATAGAAGGAAATTTTCTTTATCTGATAAAGAATATCGATTAAATAAAAACACTCTATGGGTGCCTGGGTGGCTCAGTGGGTTAGGGCCTCTGCCTTCGGCTCGGGTCATGATCCCGGAGTCCTGGGATCGAGCCCCCCATCGGGCTCTCTGCTCAGTGGGGAGCCTGCTTCTTCCACTCTCTCTGCCTGCCTCTCTGCCTACTTGTGATCTCTGTCAAATAAATAAATAAAATCTTAACAAAAAAAACACTTTATGGCAATCATTATATTTAATAATGAATCATTTAAGGCTTTTCTCTGAAATTGAGAATAACATCACATGAAAATTATAAATAAGAGACTCTGGGGCACCTGGGTGGCTCAGTGGGTTAAGCATCTGCCTTCAGCTCAGGTCACAATCCCCAAGTCCTGGGACTGAGCTCTGAGTCAGCCTCCTGCTCAGCACAAGCAGTCTGTTTCTCCATCTCCCTCCAACCCTCCCCCATGTTTGTATTTGTGCTCATGCTCTTGCTCTCTCTAAAATAAATAAGTACATAAATCTTAAAAAAACAAAACAAAATTAATATAAGACTGGTAATCGACTCAGAAAAAGGGCAAAATATATGAACAGGCATTGCACAAAGAAGCATATTCAAATGACCAACAAATATGAAAGGATGCTCAACTTTTACTGTCATTGGGGAAATGCAAATTAAGCCAAATGAAATACCACTATATTACAATGGCTAAAATGGAAGAGACAATAGTACTGAAGGTAGAGATAAAATAAATTCTTATAAATTGCTAGAAGAATGTAAATTGATACAATCACTTTGTAAATCTTTTTGGTAGTATCTACTCAAGCTGAGCTTAGGCATTATCCTATGAAGCAATAATTCCACTCTTAATTATGTACCTAACAGTAATGCATATATATGTATTCACTAAAAGCGCCAAACAACTCAACTATCTATCCACAAAAGTATGGATAAATTGTACTATATTCATACAATGTAATGTAATCATTAGTGAAAATGAACAAACTAAACTATATGTAACAATATATGAATATCAGAATCACAGTACTGAACAACAGAGGTCAGGTTCAAAAAGAATACATTCTGTATGAATCAATTCTTACAAAGTTCGAAATAGGAAAAACTAATCTCTAGAGCTACAAATCAAAATAGTTACATTTGGAGGAGAGGAGAAATAGATGGTAATGGCTGGAAGAGGGCATAAGGGGCTTTGTAGGATTATGACAACTTCTCTGTTGGTTCTATTTTTTTTTTTTTAAAGGATTTTATTTATTTATTTGACAGAGAGAGTCACAGCAAGAGAGGGAACACAAGCAGGGGGAGTGGGAGACGGAGAAGCAGGCTCCCGGGGAGACCCATGTGGGGCTCGATCCCAGGACCCTGGGATCAAGGTCTGAGCCAAAGGCAGATGCTTAAGGACTGAGCCATCCAGGTGCCCTTCTGTTGGCTCTGTTTCTTGACTTATATTCTAGTTATGCATGTGAAAATCTATCAAGTAAAATATTTATGCATTGTATATATTCTCTTCTCTGTATACTTCAATAGAAACTTTCTATTAGAAAAAAACCTAAAATAGTAATTTAGAATAATAGCTTTAAATTTTCAAGTGGTAGGAAGACTTTCCTCCATTTACTTTTTAAAAGAAAAATTTATTTATTTGAGACAGTGAGAGTATGTGCAAATGCACACATGGATAAGGGATAAGGGCAAAGGGAGATGGAAATCCTCAAGCAGCCTCCCGGCTGAGTGTAGAGCCTGACCTGGGGCTAGATCCCAGGACCCTGAGATCACAACCTGAGCCAAAATGGAGTCAGAGGCTTAATGGACTGAGCCACCCATGCATCCCTCTCTATTTACTTTAGCTTTTACTTTACACTTTTATTGCTTTGGGGTCAGTCTTGTGGTCAGTATTCTCTTTCTCTCTTTTTAAACACCTGTGTTTATTTATTTATTTTTTATTTATTTTTAAGTAAACTTTACCCCCAATGTGGGGCTTGAACTCATGACCTTGAGATTAGAGTCATGTATTCTACTGACTAGCCAGGTGCCTCTAGTCTGTATTCTTTCTTTCTTTTTTAACTGAAGTACACTTGGGCATACAACATTAGTGTTATTTTACTATATAGGCTGTATAATGTTGTTTTACTATACAAAAATGGCACCTGCCAACTTTGGCACTTGCAAGGTAGAAAAAGAATGCAAAAATGGCACCTATCAATGCCTCAGTCCCTGAAAAGAATTCCAATAGGCCCCTGTTCCTCCAATAGTTACCTAAGGTTAGCAAATCAATGTCCTTCCCATATGGTCTAGGCAGTTTACAGATTTCAGCTTTTACCCTACCTGAGTCCTGGGATAATTGAGTCCGTGTGGGAACTCTTTAAGAGCACAATCTCCATTTCCTACAGCTCTGTTTCTCCTGGTCACAAGCCCCACTGGTTTTCAAAGCCAGATGTTTTAGGGCTTGTCTCTCTAATGCAGATTCCAAGGGTTAAGGTAACTGATGTGGGGCATTAAATTTTTAAAAATACTTAACATATCTCTTCTTTTCTAAAGTATAAACAAAACTATACTTTAACTTTCTCTTATGTAAAATGTGAGTTAGTACTTAAAAAATAATTCTGTATTTTAATAATTTATTAATAAACTGGCGTTTATCACCAATGATTT